CAGCTGCCCGCCCTGCACGTCGCGCTCCCTTCGCGCTCGCACCTCGTCGTCGTTGTTGCCGTCGACGCCGTTGGCCGCCCCGCTGGCACCGGCACCACTGCCGGTCGCAGAATCGCCAGGCGTGTGCGGTCCCTGCTGCGCGGGTTGCGTCTGCGTCTGCGTCTGCGTCTGCGGCGGCTCGCGCCCGGCTGGGGCGCCGTTCAACGAGCGATCGTCCTCGCCGTCGAGCACCTCGGCGCCGTTGGTGGGCTCAGCCTCGTAGGCGCGCTCGAAATAGTCGGTCGTGCGCACTTCGCCGTCCTGCTCGAGTCCCGGAGGCCGGATCGACTGCACGGCCACCGTCAGGTCGCGCAGCAGGTGGTAGAGGAAGTTGCCAAACGACCCCGGCTCGCCCTGCGGCACGGGAAGTCCCTCGCGCACCAGACGCAGAGGGCCGGCAATGTCGTTGGGACCCGTCGAATGGCCGTCTGGCAGCTCAGCGCCATCGCTACGGCCTCGTCCGGACGCCTCGTCTGCGGCGCCAACGCTGGAGCTGGCGCTGCTGCCGTTCGGCGCTTGTGCGCCGTCGTCGCGCTCAGAGCGGCTCGAGCCCATGATGTGCCGGGCCGTGTCGCGCAGCAGACGAGACCACGCAGATCCCGAAGACGGAGCGGGACCGCGAGCGCCGGCAGCCGTCGAGGGCGACGAGGTCGACGTCGACGACGAGCTGGAGGACGAGGAAGACGACGAGAGCGAGGCAGTCAGGCGCCTGACGGGCATCGCGAGGCCGCTGGCGAGCCCAGCAGACCTCGAGGATGACGCATCGGGCGGAGGCGCAGCCGCACCGCGTTCCGCCTCGCTCGAGCGACGCAGCCGATTCACGAGCTCGGCCGCCGCCCTCTGGCTCTCGGTCAGGCTGGCGGGTTCGGCCGCAGGGGCGCTGGTCGACGACGAGGATGTGCTCGTCGACAGCGTGCGCGCGCGGTTGGAGAGCGACATCAGCCTGTTGCGGAGGCCCTGGCCGAGCCCGACCGAGCTCGACGAGGCCGACGAGGCCGCTGCGTCACTGCCATCGTTGTTCGACGCGCCGAGCTGGCCAGCGGGGCGTCGACGACGAGTGTCGACGGATTCCATCGCAGGCTGCAGGGTCGACTGCAGCAGTGCCCGGTCCGCGGCGTGCGAACTGGTCGGGCTGACGAGCGAAGCGGCCGTGGCGGCGGTGGCGATGCCGAGGATGCGGCTCAGCATGGCCGCCTGCTCTTCCAGCGTGGCCGCCTGCGGCTCCTCTCCCGGTCCACCGGCGCCCATACGCAGGCCGGGGTTCGACGGCTCCGAGGCGCGCCGCAAGAATCGGGGCCGCTGTGTGCTCGACGTCGTCGACTGGCCGCCCTGTGCGCCGCCCGGCGTGTCGAGGCAGAAGCCCTGGCGGCATCGGACGACGTTCGAGAGTCCTGCAGCTGGCTAGTGCTTCCAGCGCTGGCGTTGCTGCGCGGGGCTGCTACCGGTTCTGCTGCGCTACCGGCCGTGGTCGAGGGTCTCGCGGCTGCTCGCTGCGCACGGCTGCGGTTGCTCGGCAGCGTCCGGGCGATGAGGGCTCCCTGGACGATGACCGAGGTGCCGCTCATCATGTTGTGAGCCGCTGGCTGCGCTTGCGGGCCGGCCTGCGCCTGTGTAGGTGCGGGTGCCTGTCCCGGCTGGCCCGGCTGGCCGGGCTGCTGCTGGCCATGCGATGCGGGACCAGGGGCGCCCGCTGATCGCGAAGCTGCCGCCGCTGATGCTTGAGGCTGACCTCCCGATGCTCCCGAAGCGGCAGTGGAGCCCGGCGGCCGGATGCCCAGGACGTCTCCCAAGAGAGCCGACAGCGTGCTTGGGGGTGGGGGCGGGTGGTTGACACTGTTGGGTCCGGCAGCCTGGCTGCCTGCGGGACCGCCAAGGCTCGGCGGCGGGCGGCCGAGCGCCTCTTCGATCGACCTCCTTGCCCTGTCGCGTTCCTCTCGCAGAACATCCAGGTGGGGCGGAGGGGTGCGGACGCCGGAGGGGTCTTCCGTCTGCGCTTCGTCTGCCGGCGCGGCACCCGCAGTCGTTGAGGAGCTACGACCGGCGTTGGCTTCGGCTGGTCTGCCTGGAGTGGGCCGGCTCGATGTCCAGAGGTCGCCAAAGGGATCGGCCGTGCTCTGCGATGGCTCGCCCGCGCCGTGCTGCGAGGCGTGCGCAGAGGCGTTGTCGGACTCGGCGCAGGTAGCAGCCGCCTGCGATGCTGCCGGGCTGGATATCGAGGACGAAGGATGAGCCGAAGACGAGGCTTCCGCGTGCGACGATGCGTGCTGCTCGCCGATTGTCGTGCCCTGGTCGCGTTGCTGTGAGGTCCCGCTGCCGCCCTCGTCTCGGTCGATCTGCATGTCGTTGGGGTCGTCTTGGGACCGTGGCTGCAGCTGATCGTCATCTGCGTTGGTGCGCGCGCGAGACGACCTGGAGATGCCGAGGCTGCTTCGCCACGAGAGGCGCCGCTTACGCTTCGAGCGGGAGCCCTCGCCATCGCTCTGCAAGTCGTCGCGGGAGGGGGAGGGTGAGAGGCGACGCTTGTTGCGGCCTTGCGCGGACGGGGAAGCCGCGGCCTGCGATGCGGCGCCATCAGCCGCAGTGCCGAGGCTGTGGCGGTGTGACGCAGAACCGGAAGCCATGGCTGCGGAGCCGCGCGGCTGCGGCGAGCGTCGGCGCTGCTGGGCTTCGGGGTTTTCCCGTGACTGCGTGTGTCCCATGCTCAGAAGGGGATTGGTTCAGAGGCAGGCTCGAGTTTCGCACAGAGGCGGGAGGGGTGCTGTGGGAGCGTGCCTTGGACGAGAGGGAGTCGATGCGGCTGCCAGGATAAAAGGGTTGAATGGACCGGGAGCGGAGGGAGGGATGCAGGAAGCGGCGGAGGGGGCGGCGGCAGCGGTGGGCGTCGCTGTGGTATGGGTGGATCGCTTGCTCCGTGCTCCACGTTGCCAGGATAGATGGTGGGTAGGAGGGGCGTGCGGGTCGAGGCGAGAGGCTCGAGGCGTTTGGTCTGTGCTCAAAGGGATCGGAGGTGCGTTAGAGCGGCTGGCTGCGGCGGGGCTCGTGGCGGACAGGAGAGTGACGCGATGCACAGGCCAGTGTGGCTGGGAGGGTCGGTTATGTTCCGTCCGGCGCGTTGGTGAGTCTGAGAAAGGGGTGCGAGGGGGCTGTGTCGGTGGCCGTTTGTTGCGTGGGCCCGTCTATGTATGCTGTCTGGCGCTGTGGCGCGGTTGGCTGGAATTGATGCTGGTTCGGATCGGTGCGGGTGGCGGCGGTGCTGCTGGTGCTGGTTCTGGTACTGGTGCTGGTGCTAATGAGTCGTAGTCGAAGTGACGGTATCGGATGCTGTGCGGGTGACCGTGATGGCCGAGGCGGTGATGGTGATGGTAAAATGGAAGCGGAGGGTGAGGTGGGTGATGCTGGGTGAGGCAAGGATAGGCCTGCCTGGCTCCTGAATCGGCTCGCCCGCTTGGCCTGGCTTGGCTGGGCTGAGGACGCTACTTTGCAAAAGGCCGGAAGGCGGCTGGCAGGCAGGCTGGCTGGCAGGCCTGCCTCGCTCACCACACGACTCAGCCGGCCTTTGGCAGCCAGCCAGCCAGCCTGCCTGCCAGCCTGCGCCTCGGGCCAAGGCCGGAGAAAATCGCCGCCGCCGCTGCCCACCGCCAGCCTCGGCCCTCGCCCAAGCCACGCCCGCCGAGGCCAGCGAGGTGGAGGTCCGACCCGGCTAGCCTGGCTGTCATCTGCCATCGGGCAACGTCAGCTCAGCCTCATCGATTATGTGCTGGCATCGGGCCACCTCGCCGGCCAAATCCGAGACCTGCAGGCAGCCAGCTCCGCTGCGCCCGCTCTGGCCAGCCGGCCTCTGCCTCTGCCCGCCCGCCTGCTCCCTCCTGGCCTGGCAGGCTCAGGCTTATCTTGACCACCACGTAGCCTCTCGATCCCTTGTCCGCACCACCGCACGCGGAACATTGGCGACGACGACGACGACCACGACGACGGCGAAAGACAAACGATTGGACTCGCCCACCGACCCCCCGCCTCGACTCGGCTCACCGCCCTCGAAGACGACGACGACGACGACGACGACGCGGCCACCGCTCCATCTGTCCACCTGCTGCTCAGTTTCTCTGCCCTAGCCATCTATCCTCCGCCGTCACGAGCAACGGCACAGGACCGTTCGCTTCTAGAATTTCGACGGGACAAGCCAGAGCTGGGCTAGTGCCACAGCGACGCCACCAGTTGGCTCTCACCACGGCCACCGCCAACCAACCGGGCGTCCAAGATGGCCTCGACGGGCGTGCCCATCGAGCAGTCTCAAAGACCAGATGACCCCTTGCTCCAAGACTCGCTGCCTGGCGCAGAGTCGCTCGACGATGTCAGCGCCACGCTCGAAGATCCGCGAATCGACGGCGCCGTCTACCACGACTACCACCCGGACGTTCCGGAGCTCGCCTCGCCGCTGCCGGCCTCGCGCGGGCCGACGGCGGACCCGGTCGGATCGTCTGCCGCTCCGCAGTCCAACCGCTCCATCTCACTCTCGACACCACCGGCAGGCGCAACGACGCCCTTACGCAGCCTTTCGGGAGCATCCGCGCCCGGCTCAGGCCCGGGCGTAGCTTCGCTTCGGGCCGGGCCCGACGACAACCTGCTGGGCAGCGCAGGCCTCGGCCAGATGGGCACGCTGCTCTGGTCGCAGCGCGAGGAGAGCGTCGTGCGCAACCGGCAAGGCAGCGTCCTCACCCGCGGCCTCATCCTCAAAACCGACCACTTTGCCGGCGCAGCCCGCTCGGCCCACCTCAACCTGCACCTCCAGGGCGCACCCAACTTCCGAAAGGCCGACTGCTCCCTCGAAGTCTACGGCGTCGCCCAGCCCACAATCACCGGCCTCAAGACCATCCTCTCGGTCCTCAAGGCCAGGCCCAGCCGCGACACGCCCCCTTCGACCACCACCACCACCACCACCACCAACTCGTCGTCCGGCGCCACCGGCTCCTTTCCCGGATGGTCGCCCACCGCATCGCCGAACGCGCGGCCGACGCAGCCAGCGGCAGAGACGCCAATGTCCCGCCCCTCGAGGCCGTCGCGCAGGTGCGTGTGGGTCTGCACCCGAGAGGAGCCCGTCATCTACGTCGGCGGCCGCCCCTTTGTGCTGCGCGAGGCCGAGCGCCCCCTCTCGACCTTCGGCCTCAGCATGCGCGCCGACAACCTCGAGGCCATCGAGCTCCGCCTCAAGCAGGATATCCTGCGCGAGGCGGCAAAGTACGGCGGCCTGCTCATGGTCCACGAGGAGACGGCGTCGGGCGACATGTCGCCCACCTGGATCGCCGTCGACAGCGACTCGGTCTACACGGTGCGCCAGGTGTGGGACCGCGTCAAGCAAGAGGGCTGGAGCGTCGACTACCACCGCATCCCCATTGCCGAGGACCAGGCCATCGAGAACAACTACCTCGACGCCTACACCCAGGTCATCAAGGACCTCGACCCCACCCAGACCAGCCTCGTGGCCAACTGCGGCGTCGGCTTCACCCGCACCACGTTTGCCATGGTCGCCGCCGTCATCCTCCGCCGCAAGCAGATGCTCCTCAACGGCCACCCCGACCCCTTTGCCGGACTGCTGCAGCGGCAGGAGGCCGCCGCCGCCGCCTCGTCGACCCGGAGCCCGTCGGGTGCGGGCGCCGGCGGCGGCGGTGGTGGCGCATCGACGCCCAACTCGAGCGTGGCCAAGTCGATCCGCCAGGCCACCGAGCAGCACGCCCACAACCGCACGCTGCTGCGGCTGATCCGCGTGCTCAACGAGAGCCTCTCGACCAAGGACTCGCAGAGCACCATCGAGATCCTCCTCTCGCAGCCGGCGCTCCTCGAGGCGCTGCGCAAGGCCAACTCGGGCGACTACGGCGTCATCCGCCAGCTGTCGGGCCTGCTCGACGAGGGGCTCGAGAGCAAGGCCGTCGTCGACGCCGCTGTCGACTCGTGCGCCCACGTCACCAACCTCCGCGAGACAATCCTCCACTCGCGCATCAAGTACTCGACCGACGCCCTCGACGCCGACCAGTCGACCTACCACCTGGAAAAGGCCGCCAAGTCGCTCGAAAAGTACTTTTTCCTCGTCGCCTTCGCCAGCTACGTCAACGCCAGCAAGACGGCCACCTTCCAGCACCGCTTCGCCAGCTGGCTCAAGAACCGCGTCGAAATCTGGCGCGGCATCACGATGATCCGATCAAAGGGCCGCAAGCTCTACTTCTTCGACCCGGTCAGCGACCTCTCGGTCATCAGCCGCGGCGCCGCGGGGGATCTCAAGGCGTCGTCGCGCAAGCTCCAGGGCCGCTTTGGCGAGGTCTCGGGTCAGGGCGCCCAGGTGCCCGGCGACGAGTTTGCCGAGTACGTCATCCGCAACCGTGCCGGCGTCGTGCTGAGGCCATTTACGCTGCTCAAGTGCGACATCTGGAGGAAGTTTATCGAGCGCAACGCCGGCCTGCCGGTCCGCGGCACCGTCAACTTCCGCCGCATCCCCGGCAGCAACATCTTTGCCACGGGCCAGCCGACGGTCGAGGGCATCCGCAACGTCGTGGCGCAGTTGCAGGAGTACTACCAGCCGCCGCCGCAGCAGCAGCAGCAGCACAGCTACCTCGACGGGGAGGACGCGGCGGCGGCGATGGCGCCCGACGCCTATCCGCCGACGACGGTGACCTGGATCAACCTGCGCGAGGAGCCGCTGGTCTACGTCAACGGCAAGCCCTACTGCCTGCGTCAGAAGGGCATGTCGCTGCGCAACATCAAGGCCTACAGCGGCATCAACTGGGACCGCCTGCTGCTGCTCGAGGACCGGCTCAAGAACGACGTGCTCAACGAGCTCGAGGCGGGAGAGGGCCGGCTGCTGCTCCACACCGAGACGGCCGACGGCACCGTCGTGCCCATCTGGGAAGAGGCGGCGCCGCACGACGTCGACACGATCCAGGGCGTCATGGCGCTGGCGGAGCGCGAGTGGAGGGACAAGGTGCAGCTGCGCTTCCGCAGGATCCCTATGACGGCCGAGAAGCCGCCGGACTTTTCCGACATCAGCGAGCTGCTGTCGGTCGTGCTCAAGGCCAACATTGACCGCTCGCCCATCGTGCTCAACTGCCAGCTGGGCCGTGGGCGCAGCACCATGACGGCCGTGCTGATCCTGATGATCGCCCGATGGCTCGACCAGCACAAGCCAGTCTACGACGAGCCGGACGCGGTGCTCGGCGGTCACGCCTTCCCGACGACGGACAGGGGAGCGGCGGCGGCGCCGCTGCGCAGCATCGACGGCGGAAGCGATGGCGCATCGACTCCGCTCGGCGGTGGCGGCGGCGGCCGGGCCGTCTCGACCAGCATCTTTGATCCGCCGCCGTCGGACGAGGCCGTCAACCCCCGCCGCGAGCCGCTGAGCTACCACGTCATCAACAGCCTGCTGCGCGTCATCCCAAAGGGGCTCGAGGTCAAGCGGATCGTCGACTCGTGCATCGACCAGTGCTCGGGCGTCACGAATCTGCGCGACGCCATCGAGGACTCGCGGCTGGCGGCCGAGGACACCGAGGACGAGGCGCAGCGGCGCAAGCACATCCAGTCGGCAATCCACAACCTGCGGCGCTACTTTGAGCTCATCATCTTCCAGTCGTACCTGTCGCAGACGCGGCCGACGTCGCTCCAGTCGCAGTCGAGCTTCCGCGCCTTTGTCATCCGCCAGCCCGTGTTCACGACGATCGCCAAGGACTTTGAGAAGATCGACATCTCGACCATCATGCCGCTGCAGAAGGTCGACGCGAGCGACGGCGTGGCGCTGTCCGACGAGGTGCAGGACGTCGTGTCGCACCGCAGCGGCAGCATCCTCAGCGCCTACACGATGCTCAAGTCGGACTTTTTCAGCGGCATCCTCAAGCTTGGCCTGCCGGAGCAGATCGACGGCATGCCCAACCTGCGCGGCGTGCCGCTGCTGCTGACTCCCCACCACGGCCTCACGGCTTCGGCCGTCACGCCGAGCGGCACGCCCCGGACGCCCTTCTACGCCCACGGCCGCGAGACGTGGGGCAGCGGCATGCCGACCGTCGAGGGCCTGCGCCGCGGCCTGTCGCGGATGGGCGCCGCGCCCAATGGGCCCAACGCCGTCGTGTGGACCAGCCTGCGCGAGGAGCCGGTCCTCTACGTCAACGGGCGGCCGCACGTGCTGCGCCTGGCCGACCAGCCTGTGACCAACATTGAGGCGACGGGCATCACGACCGAGGTCGTCGAGGGCATGGAGCTGTCGCTCAAGCACGACATGCTCGAGGAGGCGCGCCAGCGCAACGGCCGGGTGCTGCTCCACGACGAGGTCGAGATCAGCCAGGGCGAATTCGACATTATCCCCGTGTGGGAGACGGTCAAGGAGGGCGACGTGCTGACGCCGCGCGAGGTCTACGAGCTGGTGCAGCGCGAGGGCTTCAAGGTCGACTACGCCCGGCTGGCTATCACCGACGAGCAGGCGCCCGTGCCCGCCGTCTTTTCGCAGCTCGAGGCGCGCGTGATCAAGGCGCTCCAGACGGGCTCGGCGTGCGTCTTCAACTGCCAGATGGGGCGCGGCCGGACGACGACGGGCATGGTGATTGCGTCGCTCGTCTCGACCGTGTGGCACTATGGCGACGAGATGGTGACGGGCAACGACATGGGCGGCTCGGCCATGTTGGGCGGCGGAGGCATCGAGGAGCCCGACTTTGGCAACCCCAAGGACGCCCTCGACAACCGCGAAGACGACCTGTGGCTGCAGGGCGAGTGGCGCACCATCCTCCAGCTGGTGGGCGTGCTGAGCCACGGCAAGCTTGCCAAGAAGCTGACGGACCGGGTGAGTTGCGATGACGACGACGGCGGCGGCGGCGATCCGAGGAGGCGGGCTGTCGTTGCGGCCTTGGCGTGGCGTCTGTGCTGACCGACCGACCGACCGACCCTTCCTCTGGGTGCGCTCCCCCTTTGCCGTTTCGCCTCGTCGCGCAGGCCATTGACCGCATGGAGGCGGTGCAGAACCTGCGCAAGGCCATCTACGACTCGAAGCTGCGCGCCGACAATGCCGAGGTGGGCACCAAGAAGCAAAAGCACCTGCACACCGTCTTTGTCAACTACCTGCAGCGATATGTGAGTGGAACCGCCGCGGCCCCGGAGAGGAAGGTGGTGCCGAAAGTGCCGTGGCTGGCCTGGAAACCTCGCTGACGACTGGCGACGACTCGGGTCCCGCCTCACCTCGGCCCAACACTCGCGACGACGACGACGGCAGGGCTACCTGATCACGTTTGCAAACTACCTGCTGGAAAAGTCGGACGCGTGCGCCTTTGAGCCGCTTTCTGCGGCCTCGTCGCTCGGCGGCGGGCCCACGGACGACGACGAGCACAGCTTCTTCTCGTCGGTCGCCGGCGGGCGCAAGAGGTCCGAATCGATGAGCAGCAACGTATCGACCTCGACGTCCATGACGGGCAGCTCGTTCCTTGTCGCCCCCCTCGCCACCACCTCCGGCGCTACCGTCGCCAAGCACCAGCAACAGCAGCAGCAGCAGCAGCAGGATGATGGCAGTCGACGCTTTCCCACCTTCCTTGGCTGGTTGCAGCCCCGGCGGGAGATCTTTAGCATCCTCGGAAGGACGAATCTCGAGTAGACGCGGTTCGAGCTCGAGGTCGAGCTCGGCGTGGCGCGGAATGCGTCGACGGTGGACAATGGAGGAGGGTATGGGCAGAGTTACGAGGGCGAGGTGCCGGAAGGGAGGGGGAGGCAAAGGATTTCCGTGTCGTCCTGCAATGTCGGATACGTGGTGGTGGGGGGGAGCCCATCGATAGATGTACGGCTTCCTGGGCCCCGATTCTCCCCCTCTGGTCCTCGTCTGGCTGTGCTGTGCCCTTCCTCGCTCCTCCTTGCCGTCCGAGTGTCGAACCAACCGTCCGCCCATCGCGAAGAGGCGACATCAACATCGACATCGACATCGACATCGACGTCGACGTCTCCGCTGAAACTTAGGCATCGTCGGTGCCGACCGCGACGTCCTGGTAAGTTTCAGGGAGGTACGAGTACTGGTCCTGTTTTCTGGCGAGTGCCGAGTCGGCACTGAGGTCCTTGCTGGATCTTCGTCCCCTCTTTTGTGCCTCGTCCTCTTCCCTCTTTTTAATCTCCTCGTCCCGCTGTACGGCCTGGATGGCCTCGGTCCTAAAACGCTCGAGGGCGCGCAGTGCCGCACCGTCTTGCATGCTCTTCCTCGCCATATCGGTGGCAGCGGGGAGGGAGGGTGCGTAGGAACCGACGTAGAGCAGTGCGGCGCTCTGGAGCAACGTGTAGTCTGCTATCGCACCCAGTCTCACTCCCGCCGGGATGGGAGGGAGGTGCGAGACGAGGTTGCGCGTATGCCGATCCGTGAACCGCTCCACGTCGACGTGTAGCGGCGCAGGGAGCGGCGAAGTGGGCAGCGAGGAGAGGGAGCTGCTCGAAAAGAGGTGCAGAACGATCGACGCATTCTCGTGCGCGCTGTGCGACCCGACGTCTGCGAGCGCGTGCGACGCCAGACCGAACGACGAGGGCGTGATGCTGAACTCTGTGATTTCGCCGTCGTTGAGCTCCCAGACCTGTCAGGACGGGGCGGAGATGGGTTGAAGGTAGCGGGACAAGAAAGGCGGGGAGGGGGGGGGGGGGGGGGGGGCTGGTGGTCGAGGTACGGCCGTCTCCGCTTGCGAGCGGTGCTCTGCTGCCCGTCGCCCACTGCTGCACTCACATCGGTGGGACCCTCTGGGCTGATCTCATCGAGGCCCTCGCGCCCGCAGACGATCCAGGCGCGCTTGGTGCCGCGCTTGCGCAGCGCCTCTGCAAACGTCCTGCCGAGGTAGTAGCTGTGGACGCCGAGGATGCACCTCTCTGGCTGGGCCGGGTTGATGAGCGGGCCGAGGACGTTGAAGATGGTGGGGAAGCCGAGGTTCCTGCGGATGGGGCCGAGGGGCGCGAGGGCCGGGTGGTAGAGCTGGGCAAAGAGGAAGGCAAACTTGGTGCGGGGCAGCAGCTGGGCGATCTGCGAGGGGGGCAGGGTGAGGAGGGGGATGCCGAGCGAGATCAAGAGGTCGGCCGAGCCCGAGGTCGACGACGACGCCTTGGCGCCGTGCTTGCACACCCGCACTCCGGGCACGCCGGCGGCGACCATGGCGGCCGTGGTGGATACGTTGAACGTGTCCTTTCCATCTCCGCCCGTGCCGACGAGGTCGAGGGTGCCCTCGTAGACGTCGGCCGGTTGGCCCGGTGCGGCGGCAGCGGCGGGGGGATCGGGGCGGAGGCTGGCATCGAGCGGGTCGACGTGTACCTTGAGGCACGAGTCGAGAAAGATGCGGGCGGCGAGGGCAAAGGTGTCTGCCTGGATGTCGAGGCGGGTGAACTTGAGCGAGGTGAGTGCGGATCCGATCTGGGCGTGGTTCTCCCTGGACGACGTGAAGTTGGGGTCTGCGAGGTGCTCAAAGAGGGTCTCGAGGTGGTGCTGGGAGAGGATGGGCTGCGGTGGTGGTGCGCCGTTGTGCGAGGGGCTGCGGTAGGATGCGGGCGGGGTGTTGAAGGGGTCGCGCGGGTCTACGGCGGCGGCGAGGGCGAGGGCCTTTAGGATGGGGCGGAAGGTGTCTGCGGTGTGCTGCGGGTGGTTGGGGTTGGCCTCGAACGGAACGGTGTCGGCCATGGTGGGCGGCGTCAGGGGTGGATGGTGTAACGGTGCGAAGAGGTGGGTGTGGGGCCGGGGGAGACGAGGGGGTGGCCCTTTTAAGCGACGAGGCAGTGGAGCGTGAGCACGGTACGGTGCGATGGGGTGACGAGGGACTGAGGATGGCGCACAAAGAGAGAGAGATTAAGATTGGCAGACGCGCAGGCAGGTCAGAGGTGGTGGGTCGGGGGATAGAGGGACGTCGGCTGGCGGTGGGTGGGCAAAGGTGGGCGGGGTGGGCAGAGGTGGTCGGAGAGCAGGCAGGCGGCCAGCAGAGAGTCTTAGAGTCGTTTGCTCTCGCTGGCCCTCACCCGCCGGCATCACCATATCCCTGGAGTCACGTCGCCGTTTCTTCTGGCCCGATGGATGGTCTGCCAGCCGGCCCGGCCCGATGCCGGATCGACAATGATGCCAGATGGCCTGTCGACGCCTTCGGAGTTAGCCGCCGCCGCCGCCGCCGCCGCCTTGGCTTGGCTGCCTCTCTCTCTCCCTCTCTCCCTCTCTTGCTGCCTGCCTCTTTGTCTGGCTGCTGATGGCCCGCACGTGGGATGGCATCGTTGTGCGTTTTGAGGCAGCGTCGGCGCGCTTTTTGGGGGCCAACTAGTGCTCGGCGCCCGTGACTCGCTGGCCGCTGCCCATCATCATGGGCGCATGGACAGCGCCCGCCCCCCGCCCGCCTTGGATTTTTCTTGCTGGCTTCGGCACGCCGTCAGCGTCCATGCCCATGCCAGCAGCAGAAGCAGAGCAGCAGCAGCGGCAGCAGCGGCAGCAGCGGCAGGTTCTTCTTGTCGATCCCTGCCTGCCCGGCACGCTTTTGACGCCGACCCTGACCCTGACCTGCCTCTCATTCACCCGCTCCCTCACCTACACTCGCCCTCATCCACCTCCAACCCGGCGCTCGCTCCATCTCACCTTTCCTCTGCGCACACCCATCACCATCACCGCCACCACCGCCGCCGCGCCATGTCCAACCTGCTCTCCACAGAGGCCCTCTCGGGCCGCCTCCTCTTTGCCATCCCCAAAAAGGGCCGCCTCTACGAAAAGTGCCTCGAGCTCCTGGCCGGCGCCGACGTCCAGTTCAAGCGCCAGCACCGGCTCGACGTCGCACTGGTCCACAACCACAACATGGCCCTCGTCTTCCTCCCCGCCGCCGACATCCCGCGCTTCGTCGGCGAGGGCAACGTCGACCTCGGCATCACGGGACAGGACATGGTCCAGGAGTCGGGTCACGACGTCGCATCCCTCATCACCGAGGAGCTCCAGCTCGGCTTCGGAAAGTGCGCTCTCCAGGTGCAGATTCCCGACCCAAACAGCCCCTTTGCCAAGCCCGACTGCCTCCAGAGCGAGCGCGACCTCGTCGGAAAAAAGGTCGCCACCAGCTTCGACTACCTCGCCGCAAAGTACTTTGACAAGCTCGACGCAGAGGTCAACGCAGAGCGGAGGCAGCACGGCCTCGAAGAGCTAAAGACCAAGATTGAATACGTCGGCGGAAGCGTCGAGGCCGCCTGCGCACTCGGCGTCGCAGACGGTATCGGTGAGTCGCCGTCCCTTCGCCTTCTTCCCCGCCTCGAAGGCTCCGCGACGACCTACTGACGGCGCTCTCAAACATATCCCCTTCTCTGTTCACCCCCTCATACCATCGGCGCTCGATCCGCTCGCAGTCGACCTTGTCGGTGCGTCTCCGAGTCTCGCTTGCGCACCCTGCTCATCCACGACGACCTCGCACTGACATGTCCGATCCCTCCTTCCCTCGGATCACCACGCCGCAGAATCCGGCGAGACGATGCGAGCCTGCGGTCTAACGGCCATCTCGACGCTTCTGACGTCGCAGGCGGTCCTCATCCGACCGTCGAAGCCGCACGCGCGCTCCAACACGGCCCTCATTTCCCTCATCACGTCGCGCATCCGCGGCGTCATTGCGGCGTCCAAGTACGTCCTGTGCCAGTACAACGTCCAGCGGTCGGCACTCCAACAGGCCCTCGAAATCACCCCGGGACGCAGGGCAGCCACCGTCAGCCCGCTCGAGGACAGAGAGTGGAACGCCGTCTCGTCCATGGTCCTCAAGGCCGACACCGCCACCATCATGGACCGACTAGAGTCCATCGGCGCCAGCGACATTCTCATCCTCGGCATCAACAACTGTAGAGTCTAGACGACGCCTCCCCAACCTGCCGGCTTTACTCGTGACGCAGAGCGGCGAGTGGGACGACGACGACGACGACGACGACGACGACGACGACGACGACGACGACGACGACGACGAAGACAAGCTCGATGCCTCGTGGCGAAATAGATGATCAACGATCCCCCCCTTCCCCCAACCTCGTGCCGTTCCACCTCCGGGGCGCCGCGAAAAAGCGTCTCGACGGAACTCTTTGATTGCATCAGTCTCTGGTCTTTGCTTCTTTGTCGGATGGTGTTGTCGCCACCGCTCTTGACGATGACGATGAGGAGGAGGCCGAGGCGGCGCCTGTAGGAGCGAGGGGTGACCCTGACCTGACCATCCATGTCCGTCTATCTCCCGCCTCGACCGCCGCAGCGACGGCCTCAGAAGGGCGCGTACGAGTCCGGCTTGTCAATCTTCTCGAGCCGCTCCAGGCGCGCCAGCCACAGCTGCCATCCCAGACCGCCGCCCTGGCCCTGGCCCTCGTGCTGGTCGCCGCCAATCAGCTTGAGCTCGAGCGCCTTGACCTTTTCCAGCTCCTCGACCGTCTCGCTCGTACCGGCGCCCAGCTCCGACTTGAGCTTCTGCACCGACTGCAGCGCCAGCGCGTACCTAAGAAGGAGGAGGAGCAGGCGGCGTCAGAAAAGATGGGGGAATCGGGGAGCAAGAAGGCCATGGTCAGCTGCGTCCGCCTCGATATCGCAAGGACTCTGTTCGCCGCCTCGGCCTCGACCTCGGCCTTGGCTTCGGGGGGCCGCTCACCTCTTGTGCAGGATGGACCAGCGGATGTAGACCTCGGTGTACTCCTTCTCCTTTTCGCCGCTAGCCAGGCCGCGGTACCGCTTCCAGGTCTCCTCCATCTGCGCCCTGCTCTCGGCGCGGCCCTCCTCGACCTCGCTCAGCAGCGCCCGCGTCTTGCGGTTGAGCGCCAGCACGAGCGCCTTTTTCTGCTCCTGCTTTGTCTCGTTTTCGCGCTTCTCGTCGTCGCTCTGCTCGCTCGCCGAGGGGCGCTTGGTGGCGAGCCACAGCTTGACCTCGCGCTCGTCGACCTGGGACAGCACCTTTTCGGCCACCTCGAGCACCGAGGCGCGCGACTCCTTGTCCTCGGCGTCGAGCGCCTCGAGCTTGGCCACCAGCAGGCCGAGGTGGTCCGGGTAGTCCTTGATCAGCTTGTCCATGAATGCCAGCTTCTCCTTCTTGTCCTTGATCTTCTTGGCCGCCGCCGTCAGCAGCTCGGGGATCTCCTTGTCGTTCTTGCCCCCCGCCGGCGGCGGAGGCGCAGAGGCCGCATCGTCGTCCTTCTTCTTGGGCGCCGGCGGCACAATGTAGCGCAGCTCGCCCTTGCCCTGCTGCGCAAAGCCAAACTGGCCCACCAGCACGTCGCCCGGCTGCGCCTCCTTGGGCAGCGCCTCGCCCTCGAGGTTGAGGTCGAGCGTCAGAACGGTCCGCTCGCCCGGGAAGAGCTTGACGCCCTTGTAGCTGGCGGCCGGTGCCTCGCCGTGAAGATCGACGTGGTCCTTGTACATTTGCAGCGCGGCATCCTTGGGCTTCGACAGCTTCTGCTCGACCATGACGGTGGCGTTCTTGAGCCTGCCATGCGGGGGGAGGCAAGAGGAGGGGATGCGAGTCGTTCGTCAGGCATCGGGTCGGTCAGCGCCGCAGCCTCCATCTTCACCGGCGATCCGAACTCCCGGCGCCGAGCACTCACTTCTCCAGCACGGCCATGCTCTCGTTGAGGAACTGGGCCTTGAGGGTGTAGTCGCCCTTGGGCAGCGTGATCTCCTTTTTGTAAACGTCGCCAAAGTGGACGCGCTTCTTGCGGATGTCGAAGAGCTGCGTCAGGAGCGGCACGCTCGAGTCGTAGAGGTGGTTGCCGAGCGCCGGGATCGAGTACGAGAGCTTGTTGGACGCCTCCTTGGCCGAGATCGTGTAGGTCGTCACCAGCTCGAGCATCTGTCGGCCAGACGGCTGGATGTCGCGCGGCGTCGACAACGGGCGGATGACGGCGTCGGTGGGGCGGGCGTAGGTGCGGCGGGTGTCGAAGGAGATTGAAGGTTCGAAGTTCTCGATGCGGACGTTGGAGGTGCACTCGACCTTGGCGTGGCCCTGGCCTCCGATGAGCGTCAGCTCCTCGCGGCCGCTGACGGGCACGAGGGCGGTCGTGATGCCGTGGAAGGCCACCTCGAGGTCGAGGTCAAACGCCGCCTTCTGCGCCCAGAACTGGGCCGAGCAGATCTCCATCGTCAGGCCGCCGCGCACGTTGAACGACTTCTTGACCGGCTCGTTCTCCTGCAGGTTGAGCACAAACGCGTGCTCGACGTCGCTGAGGCGCCGCAGCGGCTCGAGCTGCACGCAGTGGAGCCAGAAGCGGGCGGCGGTGCCGGGCGCGGCGTGGTTGGCGCTGCGCACTGTGATCGAGGCCCAGGTGGCGCCCTCGGGCACGTGGACGAAGCGACGGACAATCTTACCCGACTCGAAGCGCGTGCCGTCGTAGCGGACGGTGGGCTCGGCGTGCACCTCGGGCTTGGCCACGGTGACGGGCACGTCGAAGAGCTTCAGCCCGGGCTTTTCCGAATCGTAGGCCTCGATCCAGGCGTGGTGCAGGCCCGGCTGGAGGTCGGTGGGGTCGACGCGCACCTCGAAGCCGCGGCCGTTGCCGCCGAGCAGCAGGTAGTCGGGCACCTTGACCCACGGCTGCGTGGCGTTGAGCGTGCAGCGGAGCTCGAGGCCGTAGATGCGCTCCGTCTCGGCCTGCTTGAGCGTCGGCTTGACCGTCACCGTGTACTGCTGCGTCTGGTGGGTCTCGATCCGCTCGCGCAGGTAGATGCCGCGCTTGTTGAACAGCGACGTCTTGCCGGCCGGCGTGACGGCGACGCGGAACTCGGCGTCCTGGTCGGCGCGCTCGGCGTTCTCGACGAGGTAGTCCCATGCGGCGTCGACGCGGATAAAGGGGACGCCGAGCGGGTCACCGACGTCTCTGCCGGTGGCCCGCACCGCCTTGAAGACGCGCTCGGGAGTCACGGGGATGCCGCGGGCCTTGAGGCCAGACACGAGCAGCGCAATCGAGCCGCACGCGTTGGGCGAGCTCATCGATGTGCCGTTCATGAGCTGCGACGTCTGCAAGCAGTAGCGCGGGATCGAGGTGATGGCGGCGCCCGGCGCGTAGATCGACACGCCGCGCTCGCCGTCGGCGCAGGGACCGCGGCTGCACCACGTCGTGACGCTGTCGGGCACGCCGCTCTCGACCAGGGCGTACTCGGCCTTCTGCATGGCGCCGGCATTGACGTAGGCTCCGACGCTGAGGACGCCCGATGTCGTGCCGCCGGGCTGGCCGACCGTGGTAAGCGCCGGGCCGTTGTTGCCGGCGCTGCTGATGAAGAGGACGTCGCGCTCGCGGATGACAATGTCGCGCAGCGCCTTGGCGAACGCGCCCTTGTTTTCGGCGCCAAACGCACCGTCCTCGCCGTAAGACAGGTTGGCGATGTCGCACTTGGTGTCGATCAGCGCCTGGGCGGCCCGGAGCAGCGCCTGGCCCTGCTCCATGCTGCCGAGCCGCGAGTCACCAATCTTGAGGCTGACGATCTCACAGCCAGGCGCCACGCCGTTGAGCTCGGGCTCGTCGTCGTGACGCGCACCGACGATGCCGGCGACGTGCGTGCCGTGGCTCCCCGCCGCCGTCACCAGGCTGAGCGTGTTGCCGCCGTCGACGATGTTGACGCTGTAGGTGAGCAGATCCTGCGAGCCGAACGTCTCCCACTGGTGCTCGATGCGGAAGTCGGTCATGGGCCTGTGTGCGCTCAGGTCGAGGATGCTCTCGCTCAGCGGCCGGAGCAGTTCGGCGGGCTGACCTTTGGAAGGGTCATGCGCGTCACCCTCGGCACCGCCGACGACGGCGCGCCAGTGCTGGCCATCGTGGAAGACGACGGCCTCGAGCAGCGGGCCCTCGTCCTTGTACGAGGCGGCCAGGTCCTTGAGCGCTTGCACCTTGGCCTTGAGCTCCTCCTTGTGCAGCCTGCGGCTCTCGTCGTCCTGGGCCGGCCCCTTGTCGGACGGCTGCGCCTGGCCCGACTTGTCGCCCGCGGCCGGCGCCGCCTGTGGCTTGGGGGCGTTTTCAAAGGCGTAGAGCTCGTCCTGGACCCGGCAGAGCAGGGCCTGGTGCGACACGTCAAACGCCTTCTTGCGCTCGGCGGAGCGGCGGGAGACGAGCTCGCCCGGCCAGAGATCGTAGGCTGCCTTGAAGCCGACCTTCCACTCGCCTGACGGGTTGGACCACCTGGACGACACCTTGATCGTGCGTCCGGTGAAGGGCGACTTGAGCGAGATGGTGTCGGAGGATGCCGAGGCCGAGCCGGAGGCCGCCTCTGGCTTGACGGACCGAAGGGGCATGTCGCCGGATCCGGAGCAGTCGATGACGTCGACCATCTTGCCCTTGAGGGCGAGGCCAGCGGCGGCCGGATCGACGCCCGTGTCGAGGACAGCGACGCGGACCTTGCGCCCATCGTACTCGGGGTACTTGCGGAGGAAGGTGAGCGCCTCTGTCGTTTCCTTGGGCAGCAGGCCGCCCAGCGGGAAGGGCTCGGTCGTGATGGGGTCGATGCCGGGCATGTTGCTCAGCTCTGGCAGGACAAGAGAGCGGGCGGGGGCTGTGGGTCGAAGTGCCGAGTCGAGCGAAGCGGCCGTGGTGCTGAGGGAGCGAGCGGCGTGGGCGGGAGTAGCGGGGGTGGTGGTGGTGGCGTAGAGGGCGGTGACTGCCAGGTTGACAGAGCGCCGTGTTGCTGCTGCTGCTGCCGCTGCGCTGTAGCGATGGACGTGAGCGAGGCAAGGCCGGGCCGCAAGAGGTCGAGCCAGAGCAAAGCCAAAAGGCTAGCATCGGTTGAAAGAGGGGGCACACGGAGGCAGGGGAGATCGAGACAGAGAGCGTCAATGTCAGCCTCTGGTCCTTCGCAGTCGGCCTGGCCGAGCCTCGAGGCAATCCCCAGTCGGGTGATCCGGTCTCCGCCGAAATAGGGCGACGCAGCAGCACTCTGCCGTGCTGCATGATCGCCCTCGTCAAGGCCCCTTCTCGAACTCACAATGGGCATGCCCCGTCGTGCCAGCAGATGGAGAGGTCGGAGCGGGAGGGGTCAGAGAGGAGGGGGAAGGGAGTGAAGGCGAGGGAAAGAAACCAGGACAGGATTGGGGCCAGTCTGTCAGAAGAGGCAGGCAAGGTGTCGAAGGCAGCAGCGGTTGGTGAGGTGGCCGGAGGGAGGGAGGCAGGCAACCAACGAAGGGGTCCGCTCCATGCTGCCGGTTGGCCCATGCAGATGAGCCGGGCAGGTAGGCGTACGCGGCCTCTGCACCTCGAGCTGGCCAGGCGACTTGCACCCGGCCGGCCGGCCGGCCGCTTAGCTTGCTTGCTTGCTCTTTTCGCGGTCGGGCCTGCCTCGCCCACGACGGGCAAGGTCCGCTCGCAGCCGACGGCCGGCTTCTTTCCGGCGCCTGGTCGCCCCCTGCCTCCCCGCCACGCCTGCGCCAGCATCTCATGCGTCGGCAGGCGCCGTTGCATCTTCTTTCCTAGCCTCCGCACCTTCTTGCCTGCTTGGCCTGCCTGCGTGGCGGCCGACAAAGCTCTCTGCCTCCATCCGCCGTGATGCGCTGGCAGCTCTGCAGGGTCCGCCGATCAAGGTTGACGTACGGCGGCCTCTAGCGCGCCGTAGATGGGTCGATCCGCGTCGGTCTTCGAGCATCCGACGCACCGCCAATACGTACTGCGCGACGAGCTGCTGCTGATGGCCTCTTCTACCTATCTGGCATCTGTCGCCGCCGTCGACGTGGCACGTCGGTGGCGAGCCGATGGAGCTGCGGATGGCTGTGTCTCGATGCGGCCTCGACCACCCGTTCCGCCGGACCGGTGTCTGAACACAGCCTTCGCTCGCTCGACCACGAGACCTGCTCGCTGCTGGCCCGCGGTGGGAGGTCGACCACGCCGCAGACGGGGCGATGCTGCGTCTCTTCGGTCGAGCCGTCTTCCGATTCGGGCCGAGAAGCGAAATACTCTTATCCTCTTGGCGGCAGCGACACATCGATCCCGCTCGGGTGGCGAAACGATTGCTGCTGCCTGGCACTTTCCTGGCTCGGTGCGCTCCTTGCCCGAGCACGGCGAGGCGTCGGGCCAGCCGCGCCGTCGTCGACCCTGCTGCTGATGAGCATGCTGCGACCAAGGCGGGTCGGCAAGGCCGGGCATCAGGCGCCGCGAGGCAGTCTGAGCAGGTCGAGTGAGGCCAAGGCTGTCGTCGGATGAGCCGCCACTCGGCCATCGCGCACGCCTGGCCCGGATGTCGATATAAAGGGGGACGACAAGGATGAAAGGCTAAGACTGCCTGCTCGACAGACTCTCGCCTAGCTCCATTCCGTCTCGCGGCCATCTCGACGCCCTTGCTCTGTGTCGGCCGTGCCCAACGCACACCCTGGCTCTTGGTTCGCGATGGATCCCCGCCAGCTCGTGCACTTGGATCCAGGCGATGCAGGAGGCAGCCAGCACGATCCGGGACTGCAGCCTGTCGATGAGACTGAGGAGGACGATGGTGGACGCCGCCCCGCCATGTCGATACTCGTCCAGAAGGGTCGAATGGGCTGCGCGGTCATGCAGTGGGACGAGCAGCGCATCCTCCTCCTCGAGGGGGTCGCGCTCGAGCAGGCGGGTACGGATGCAGTGCCGGCAGTCGAGCCGAACTCGACCGACGATGGCGACCAGAGCGAGGCAGATCGCGCGGCCGGCCTCGGGGAAGACCACCACGACCTTTTCCAGATGCGTAAGCTCTTCCAGCCCGTGGCTATTCGTTGGTGGAGACGACGCGTCTCCGAACGCCAATCGGACGAATGACTGACACTTCTCCTGCCCCCCTGCCCCCTGGGCCTCTGCAGTGATCCTGCAATATCGGCCAGAGACGATCTTGATCCCTGCACAGGCGGGCGACACGATCGTCGACAGCCTCGAGCGATCGGGTGAGCAGCGGGGAGACGTGGACCGCTGAGCTGCAGCGAGGAGCGCGTCCGACCTGACCACGAGGCCACCGCCATGTCGACCTGGGCTCTGCTTAGCCTGGCTCGTGGGGTCTCGCATCCAGACGCGGCCTCTGAACGACTTCAGCTTTGCCATTGCCAGCGTTCAGCTCAAGGCGCTCCTAAACGAGGCCGACGACGTTCAAGAGGAGCAGGGAGGCGCAGAGCAACGAGCCCGCTCTTATGCCGCGGCCCTCAGGCTGAGCTCGCGCATCGACCTGGTCCGATCGCAGATTTCGGTGAGTACCACAAGAGGCCATCGTGAGGAAGCTGCACCCGGCTGGTCATGATCGCTGACCTGAGCGGAAGCTCGAGTTCCCGTCAGGTCTCGGCGGCAGCCCCGCTGCTGCAATCGATCAAGGGCGACCGAGACATGCCGCACAGGGTCAACATCGAGGTCCTCTTCCTCGACAGCGTGCTCGGCGTGCCCGAGGACACCATCCAGGCCCTCTCGATTTTCGACCAGGAGTCTCACGCGTCGATCCATGCCCCTAAGGGCCGCGAGGGGCTGTCGGTCATGAGTGAGTGCACGCTGATCCATTCAGCGTTGCGTGGCGTGAGGAGGTTTTCTTGACGCTCTTCGCTGAACAAGCCTCCATCACTGCCGGTCTTGCGCACATATCCGACAGCGCTTCTGTCGCTCAACAGCTCACGCCGTAAGTGTCGCGCAGAAGTCTGTTGAGCCGTGGGCCCTCGTCATCAGGGCGATCGCTGACCCCTGACGAATGTACGTACATTCTTTTCGGCCCAGATTCGCTAGCGACGCTGCGCCGATGGCTCATGTTCCCGCTTCGCACGGCCGACGAGATTCAAGAGCGGCTGGACGCAGTCGAGGCTTTAACGCGCGACGACGAGCACCAGCAGCTGGCCGACGTCCGCACCCAGCTGTCCGCTCTCGCCAACGTACCCAGGCTGGTGGCTGCGATGCTCAAGGGGCTCAGCAGCCTCTCGAGCTGGGACAAGCTGAATAAGGTGAGCCATAGTCCCGTCGTCGGCCGCCGACTTCGACATGCGTGCTCATCCAGCAGGCAGCACAAGACTCACTCCGACCGCCTTCCCGCGCATGTGCACGTTTCCAGTCCTGCACGGCGATGCTGCGGGTTGTCGCGCTGCTAGAGCACCTCGAGCGCGGTCGGTCTCGCTTGCTCCAGAAGGTACCGAGCTCAAAGCGTCCCGGACCGAATCGCACACGGCGAGGCGGCGCTCTTAGCTGACGCGTCGTCTTGCACGCGCGCCCAACCCCACGCAAAGCTCCAGCATCGTGTCGACATAACCGTCATCGAGGAGCTTGTTCAGCAGATCAACGGCGCGGTGAGATCCTGTCGCGTATCGAGGAGCGTATGGGCGCTGAGATCGGCTGACAACCGATGCTTTCCCACTTCTGACCTCGATTTCGATAGATTGACTGGGAGGACAGGTGCGCCGAATTGCCCGAGGTGTCACGACTGCGGCGCGCCCGGCTCGGAAGTGACGCTCCTCTGCACCCCGTCTGGGCCGAATCGACAATTAGCAAAGGACAGGGGCGGGTGACCCTGCGCAGAGGCATCGACGTCCAGCTCGACGAGCTGCGGGAGGCGTATGCTGGCCTGCCGGACCTGCTGGATCGCGTCGCCCTCGACCTACGCCGCGAACCCGCCTTTTCTGCCAGCTCGAGGTGAGATGATGCATGCTGCGGTTCTGGTGGGTTGATAAGGGGGCTGCTGCTGATATCGTCTTTGTTTCACCGGCCCTCGCATCAGCCTACACGTCGTCTACTTTCCTCAAATTGGCTACCTCATCGTCGTGCCCACGGGCGACCCGGTCCTGCTGGACCAGGACCCGACCCTGGCGCACCAGTTCTCGAGCGACAACAGGTAGGTTGACCAGGGTCAGAGATCGAGTTCCGGCCAACGCCGAGGCCCTGCTGATGGTATCCATGAACGTTTCCCGCTGTGGGTCAACGACAGCATCTACCTAAAAAACGACAAGATGGCCGACCTCGACGAGCATGTGAGTGGACCCGCTTTGATGAAGGCAGCTATAGCCACCATCGATGATAACCCGACATTCCTCGCGCCTTTCAGCTCGGCGATCTGGCTTCCTTCATCGTCGATCGCGAGATTGAGCTTCTCGAAGGTTTGCAGGAGCTCCTGTCGGGCAGTGCACAGAGCCTGCTCCGTGCTGCCGAGGCCATGATGCAGCTGGACTGGTGAGTGCGGCCGCCGTTGGAGGATTGATGCGTCTGCGCGAACCAGGCTGAGGCTCCAATTGCTGCCGCTCATCGACAGCCTGATGGCGTTTGCTCGTGCGGCAAGCCTGTATGACTACTCTCGTGGGTATCGTTGCGTGGCAGGCGCCGCTACTGCGTCCAAGGTCCCCGTCTGCCCACACGCGAGGCATCTCTCCTCGTCTGAGCATGCCGACAGGTCCGCGCATAGTCGCTGAGCCCAAGCTGGTCCTGCAAGGATGTCGACACCCGCTCAAAGAGCTCTCGGATGACAGCTTCGTGAGAGCTAGACCGGGGCAGCTGCTGGCCCAGGCCAACTCGACCCATCTTTCCCTCGCGCTGATCACCTATCGCCTCTCGTCTTCAGGTGCCGAACGACATCTACCTCTGCAGCGGACACGGCATCGATCCTGCCAGCATCGATCGACGGGCTTCGACAGTGGGCGAAGAGGGACAGAGTGACGAGGCCAACAGCGTCCTAATCGTCACTGGAGCGTAAGTGTCTCGAGGAGGATGGAGGCGTCGCTATGCGACCTCTCATCCATCCTCGCTCTCTGGTCCCCCTTTGAGACGCACGCAGCAACTCGTCCGGCAAGAGCTGCCTCCTGCAGCAGGCCGGTCTGGCAGTGTGAGTCCTTGGCTCTCGCTGCGCTGTGACGCTCCCGCCGTGAGAATGTTCAGGCGGCCGACGTGGATCCCGCCGCGTCTTTCAGCTTCATGGCGCATTGCGGCAGCTTTGTACCCGCCGACGAGGCCGAAATCGGCATCTTTGACAAGAGTAAGTCGTGTCGTCGTCGCTCCGTTCCGTGCCCGTCTCCGGCACCGTGGGCGACCAGCCGCTGACCAAGTCGAGGAGCAGCGCGTATGGCGCCGCAGTCCTGACGCGGATGAAGCAGGACGAATCGCTGGCGTCCGAGGGCAGCTCTTTTGCCAAGGAGCTGCGGCAGCTCAGCCGCGCCCTGTCGGCCTCGACGCGCCGCTCGCTCGTCCTGCTCGACGAGGTGGGCAAAGGCTGTCGTGCAGACGGTGAGCAGAACAGTGCAGGGCAAGAGGGTCGCTAGCCCGAGACGCGCCCCGACCCGAATGCGGACTGGGCGTCCTCTGACTCTGCGCCGTCCTCGGACCCCGGCATTCCCTCGTGATGAGTCGCGTTCAGACGGTGCCGGCCTGTTCTGCGCGGCCATCACCGAGTTTCTGTATCGCCACGAAGCCTGCCCCATCGTCCTCTCGGCCACGCACCACCTCCGTAAGTGCTTCAACGCGCCCAAACGACGCTGTGCCCCTTACCCTTACTTGATCGCTCATCCACCTCGATCCTCCTGGGGCCGGAACGGGCGATCGGCGAGTAGAGGCGATCACGCACGTCCTTCCAACCACGCTGCCCCTAAGCGTGGGGCACATGCAGACGGTCCTCGTGTCACCCTCCTCCTCCTCGGCCGGGGACGGGGACGGGGCTGGGGACGGGCCCGAAGAGCACCTGACGTTCCTGTATCGCCTTCGACCCGGCCTGGCCACCGCGAGCTTCGCAGCGCACTGCGCGGCGCTCAGCGGCGTGCCGGCGCACGTCGTCGAGCGGGCGCGCGAGATGATCCGCGACGGCGCGGCCGCCGCGTGCCGGCTGCCGCCGGACGTCGAGGAGCGGCTGCGCGACGAAGAGGCCATCGCGCGCGCGTTTGTCGAGCTCGATCTCGATGCGATACGCGGTCGAATGGCATGGCGGGATGTCGCTGCCGAGATCGCACGGGCGCTCGAAGACACTTCGCTTCTCTGAGCATCCACCGGGCAGGAACGCGAATCCGCCTCCCTTCCTCGATGCTGCGCAACGTCAATTCGGGGATGATGAGGGTGAAAAGGGAAAGAGAGGTCCATGCAGAATCTGGATGTTTGTTGAAGGTAAGGTCACAATGAGAGAAAGGCGGACGATCCGGGGGGTGGGGGGGTTCGAGGCGAAACCAGGCTAGGCTGTACCGCCACCGTTGACGACGGCCAACTATCGACTGCGGCTCGCTCTCCTCGAGGCATCGGGGTCGTACCGCTTGATCCAGGGGTGGGTTAGCACCTTTTTGAGTGGCAGGCGGTCCTCGGGCCTCTTTTTGAGGAGCTGCGTTGGAGTGGAGTATGCGGGGGATGTGCGAAGGTCAGGTTTCCGACGATGTCATGCAGATCAGCATCGTGTCGGCTGCGGGAGCCCGCAGGATCGGGTTGGCTCAGTTGGCGGGCGGGGAGGGACGTACGGCAGAGACGAGGTTGGCGGCTTCCCTGGAAAAGTGCGAGGGCATTTCAAAGTCGACTGCCGAGATGCGCCGGTAGGTGTCTGCGAACGTAGTTGAGACGCAGGATAGAGGGGGGCCAAGAGGGAGAAGGAGACGGGGGGAAGCGGTGCACAAGGTGAGGTGCAAGATCAGGGGGGTCGGCGGGGACGCGAAGGGCGGGGCGGACTCGACTCACTGAGGTTGCCACCGGGCGTCTCGAATGGCGGTACGCCCTCGAGGAACTCGTAGAGCAGGACGCCGAGGGCCCACAGGTCGACGGCCTCGCCGTGCTGGTCGCCGGCCACCATCTCTGGGGGCAGATAGTCGAGGGTGCCGCACAGCGTCTGTCTCCTGTTGCTCGGCGCGTGCACGCTCCAGCCGAAATCGCCAATCTTCAACTCTCCCTTGATGCCGACGAGGATATTCTCGGGCTTGATGTCGCGGTGGATGATGTGCTTGCTGTGCAGGTACGAGAGCGCGTCTGCCATCTGGGCAATGTACTGTCGTACCGTCAGGGAGGTGATAGGGACCAACGAGGGGCGGGAAAAGGCGCGCGCGGTCAGCATCGAAATGCGACTGGACGAGCAACGAGCGTGATGCAGAGGATGCAGCACCCACCTTGGCAGCGGTGCACTCGTCGAACCTCGAGTCTGGGATCTTGCTCATGATCTTGTACAGCTCGCCTCTGCCGGCAAACTCGAGCATGAGAAACACGCGCCCCTCGTCGTGAAAGTAGCCATAGAGCCGGAGAATGTTCGGGTGGCTGTCGGTGGCCGACCGTCAAGGAAGGGGATGGAAGAGGGAAGGTCAGTTTCCGGCGGGGAGAGCAGGTGCGGAAACCGAGGCCCGGCCTTGGCCCGAATGACGCACCGAAGGTTCATCTGAATCTCAATCTCGCGCCTGAGCTGCTTTTCCACCTTGTTCTCGATGAGCTCCTGCTTGTACAGGCACTTGAGGGCGAGGATGTAGCCCTTGCCCGGCCCGCTCCGCGTGCGCACCATGTAGACGCGGCCAAACTTGCCCTTGCCGAGGGGTCTGCCCATGTCAAAGTCCGAGAGGCGCCATTGCCGCGTCGGGGGGTGCTCGCGGCTGGCACGTCGAAGGAGGGGTAAGAGAGGGTGGGGTCCGTCAGGTTCGGTGCATTTCTCGATGCGTGCAGGTGCCCGACACGGGAGACGTACCCTGTTTCTGCGCTGCTGACTGCGAGCGTCTCGAGCTTCTCCTTGACCTCGTGCTTTGCCTGCGGGTTGGTGGCCGCTTGGGCGAGGAGGGCGGTGCCCCTCCTTCCGCGGGCCTCGTCGCGCTCGAAGCCGCCATCGTAGCGACCGAGGTTGACGACGGCTGCGGGCTTTGCGCCGCCTGCGCTCGGGGGTGCGGTCGAAGAGGCAGCCGCCGTTGAGGGGGACGAGGAAGATGCCGGTGCTGATCCTGGTGTTGGTGCTGATGCTTGTGCTGATACTGCTGCTCCTGCTGCTCCTGCTGCTGCTGGCGGCTGGTTCGGCTGCTGGGTCGTGGGCCTGGCAGTCTTTGAGGATGAGGAAGAAGAGGAAGCGGCGTTGGGCATGGGGCGGGGGTGCGCGATGCTGGGAGGTCTAGTCTTTGGGATGGCCGAGTGGGCGGCCTGGCTCTGGCGCTTGTCTAGGGGCTGCACCTGGATGTTGCCCATGGCCAGCTTTGTCGAATGGCCGGCTGCGCGGGTAGGGTCGAGGGCGAGGCGGCTCATGCTGGCTTGGAGCGACGATGCGGTGATTGTGGTGCCTGCGGTGGCCGAGGCAGGGTTGAAGAGGTTGATGGACGACGAAGGGGTGAGTGCGCCCGGTGGTGGGCGTGAGAGGTGAGATGCGGAGGCCATGCGTGCTGCGCTGGCTGCGGTGCCTTGCTGGTACGAGGGTCTGGAGGGCTTGAAGCTGCCGCCGCCGCCGGCGCCGCCAAGGCGGGAGTCGTTGTTGTGAGCGGACGCTGGTGCGGGTGGCTGGTGCGAGCTGGCATGTGCTGCGTCGGCTTGCGGCAGTCGCGCCGCTATGGACGACGAGGGCGGCATGGAGCGGCGTTGTGAATGAGGAGTTAGGAGTCAAGGAACGCGGTGTGATGGCGATGGTGGTGGTGGCGGTGGTGGTGGTGGTGGACGAGGGCCGACGGTGTCGCGCCTGTTGAGTTTGGCAGACCAACACCTCAACACGACCCGAACCCCCTCTGCGCGTCGCAAACACGGCCCCCGCCTGAGCCGCCCGGCTGCTCGTCGGCCCTTTTTGGATTTTTGGCAGAGGACACGTGATGGCCGCCCGCCTTTTCCACAGAGGGCCCGCCTCCACCTTTGGCTGCCGCTATGGCCCTGACCACCACCACCGCCACCACCACCTTCTTTCCTCACAGAGCGTCTTCTTGGCCATCCGACTGGAGCTGGCGGTAAGAACCGTCTTGCCGGAAGCAAGCAACTCATTCACCACCATGGTCATCTTTTACCGGTCAGATGGTAAGCTCACCATGCCAACCCACTGCTGCTCGTCCAGACTGCGTCCTCCCAGCTCACCCTTCTCGCCTTCACCCTGCACTCGGCCCTCTGCTCTCTGCCCTCTGCCCTCTGCCCCCGCAGCCGTCACACCGCCGGCCACCATCTACATGGGCAAAGACAAGGTAGGACACAGCGCATCCTACCGACCTCTCAAGTGCCGTCTCTCCGACGTTGCTGGCTGACAAGCTCGGCCCCGACCCCCCTGCCTGCCATGCCATGCCCAGTTTGAAAGTGAGCACCACCGCTTCCGCCCATCCCTGGCCCACCTCGTTCCACAGTCCCTCATCTCCCTTCCTTCCCGCCCTATTCCTGCGCCCGCACAGACGAGGACCTCCTCCGCTACGGCCTCGAACGCGACGTCTGGTTCCACGTAGACAAACTCTCCTCGGCCCACGTCTACCTTCGCCTGCCCGACTCGGTCACCGACTGGGAGTCCATACCCGAACCTCTCCTCGTAGACTGCTCACAGCTCGTAAAGGCGAACTCGATACAGGGTGCGTGCAGTGCCAGCAGCCTCTCATTGTGGTCAGGGACCTCCTATGCTCATCGTCTCTGCCCCGCTGCTCGCCATTCTCTCACGCCCCACAGGCAACAAGAAGAACAACCTCACCATCATCTACACGCCCTGGAGCAACGTAAAGGTAGGAACGCCGTCACCTCTGCCGCCCCAGACCATCCTAAGCTCACCACGCGTCCATCCTCTCAACCACCGCGCCGCGGTCATATCGCCCACGACCCACTCGCACAGAAAACCGGCGACATGGCCACGGGCAGCGTCGTCTTCCACAACGACCGCAAGGTGCGCCGCTTCCACGTAAAGGAGCGCGACACGACCATCCTCAACCGCCTCGCAAAGACAAAGGTCGAGCGCGACGTCGATCACGAGGCCGAACGGCAGCAGAGGCTCAAGGACGAAGGCAGGGAAAAGAAGAAAAAGGCCATCGAAGAGGTGCGTCGCCGCGTCGCCGCGCGGGCCAGTGCTGACTGGCCTGTGCAAGCTCTTTCCACCTCTTCCGATCATCGATGTTGACCTTTTCGACCGACACTGCGCGACGGCAAAACAGAAAGCAGCCGCAAACGAGCTTACCAGGCAACGGCAAAAGGAAGCAGAGGAGAGGGACTACAGCCGGCGTGAGTTGCCCTTGGGACCACCACCGTCAGCCGCCTCACTCCCTTCTTAGCTGACCACGCGTCTGCATCTGCCTACGTTCCGTCACCCTCGCCCGACAGTCTTTTCCGAAGAGGCCATGGCCGAATCCAGACGCAAGGCTGGCAAGCGGTCGCCCAAGGCCGACGAGGGGGCGGACGACGACGGGTTGGAGAGCGACGACTCGTTCATGTAGGCGTGAGCGCTTCCGCGGATACGTCCCCTGACCACCCCTGACTCTGCTTCAGCATCCCCTCGCTCGTTGGTCGATGCTGCCGATTGGCTATTCGACACTCGAGGTACACCTCGGCACATCTACTGCGCCTCCTAGCGCTCGAATCTCAAGGATTCATTCTGGCGCCGCTTCGATCTAATAATCGCCCACGCACGTCCGGGCCGCCAGGTTGTTCTTGAAGGCGCCTAGGCACTGACCGTTGTCGACGACATCCCAAGTCGAGTCCTCTCTGCACCTTCGGGTCTGCACCGCTCCGGATTCGGCGCCGGGCCCGGTCACAGTGCAAGGAGCGCTAGCCAGCTGTCCCGGCGGTGTGGGCAGCCACGGGTCGTCTTGCTGGCACGCATTTAGGTGCTCGGCGACGGCCCGGGTGAACTCGTAGCTCTTCGTGTCGAGGTCGATGGCCCAGATCATCCCCCCGCGCAGGTCATACTTCTGGATGATGCCAACCTTTTCGGCGACCGAATTCTCGTTGTCGAAGCCCACCCACTGGTCGTCAAAGGTGAGGTAGGCGCCGTCATTGAGGACGTAGTGGTAGTTGAGCGCCGCGGTCCCGAGCTGGTTTTGCGCGTTGAGGATGTCCATGATCTCAAAGTAGGCCAGATAGCCCGTCAGGCCGGTGCAGCGTCCCGCCACGCCAGTGTGGCCAGTGTCGCCTGGGAGATTCTTGGTCACGTCGTCGAGCGTCCAGACGCGGCCGTAGGCGGGCAAACCGGCGTTGATCTGTCGGGGCGAGACGCCCTTGCGCAGGTAGAGCTTGATCGCGCTTTCGTAGCTCCAGGTGGGTAGGTGCGTGTCCTTGACCGGGGCCGTCGAGTCGACGATGTTTTCCCAGTTACCGTACTGATAGGGCAAGAGGTTTAGTCGGTCGACGGCAGTGCACATGTCAGCCCTTGTCGTTGCGCTGGTCAAGATGTGCCAGCTGCTCATACACTCACAAAGTCGTACGACACTGCGGAGGCGCCAGGACAAGGAGGTGAGAGCGGGCGTATGTCGTGCCCGATCAGCGGACATCCTCCCCAACGGCGGCTACCGAAAGCCGCCCTTCCACTCACTGAGGTTGAACCAGTCCAGGTACTGGGCGCATGCCGCAGGGTCGAAGAGCTCGACCTTGTCCGGATCAGCGGGTGCCGCCATGGTCATGAGGAGCTCGGTCCTCCCCGTCTGAATAGCTTCGGCATGGAAGGCCTCCCGCATTTCCCGGTACAGGGTGAGGAGGTTAGCACCGTCCTGCAGCGTGCCGCCGCGCGCCACGTCGCCGGGGTACTCCCAGTCGATGTCGATGCCATCGAAGCCCAAGCGTCGACACCAGTCGATGCAGCTGCGGATGAACGTGGCGCGGTTAGCGGCGCTCGCGGCCATCTTGGAAAAGACGCGGCTGTAGTCAATGCCGCCCGTGAAGCGACCGGGGCCATCGTTGAACGTCCACCCGCCGATGCTGACGAGCGTCTTGAGCGATGGGTTGACGCGCTTGCACCACGTGTTGAGCCGCAGGCTGAGGTCCTCGTCGTCGAGCTCGTGCGGGATCATGGTATAGTCTGCGGACGGCGGGCGAGGACGACCTCTGCTTCAGCGTCGCGATCGAACGGGCCTCTGGCCATGCGAATCAGAGACGACTCGGGACTCACTTGTATCGCTGATGAAAACAAAGGCATAGTTGATGTGCGTGTACAAGTGAGGGTTAATGAGCTCGGGAAGGTGCATGTCGGCCTTTTTGCAGCCGGGCGTGCCCGGGTCCTCGCCGTAATACCTGGAGGTCGACAGACGAGGTCGCGAACGCGATCGATCACGGCAGGTCAGTTCATCGCTCGACAGGGACAGAGCCATGGGACGGCAAGTTTCTTCGAGTCGAAAAGGCCGCACTCACTGTGACCAGGAAGACCAGTATCCGACCAGGTCGCGCTTGGCAAAAGTCGACGCCGGTGGGCGGTAAAGGGCTCCTTCGTCGATCGGTGGTGGGTCCGGGCCGCGGGGAGGGGGTGGGGGTCCGTCATTGATGCATTGCTGACGTGGTGGGCGCGAAGGTCAAAGCGTAGCAAATTCGGGGTCAGACAAGTCGTCGTTGAGGTACATATTTTGGCCAACCACGGTGCGTTGGCACTTACCGACTGGCAGCCTTGCGACGTGAGGCAATACTCGGCGGTCGTGCCTGGCAACGGCCAGATGTGACAAGGCGGACGGGTCAGGCTGCGACTCCTTGCCTGTCCAAGGAAGCCGACTATGCGCACTCACCGCACGAGCCATACTGGGAGCAGCAAAGGCGATCGGGGCAGAGGGCGTTCCTGTACTTTGCGCCGCAGTTTTCTGAGCCGGCCAGAGGCGGCACCAGCCACGGCCACGGAGTCGATCTCGAGCGTCAGCGAGCTGCCTTCTGCAGATCTCGACATCGATCTAGCTCATCTTGTCTTGTCTCATCAGTGCACTTACGAGCGTGGGCAGAAGGTAGGAGCGCTAGGCTGAGGAAGGGGATCACGCAGAGCGCCCATAGGAAGTCAGCAGGGCGGAACCACATAGCTTATCGTGGATGTGGCAGGGCGAGGCCGTCGAGGATGTTGATGGTTGGAGGATCAGTGAGAATTGCAACCGCCACACGGAAGGCGCTGGTGTTCCGTGGTGCCGTTGTGGACCTGACCGAGTCTCGCGGGCGAGGAGGGCGACGACACAACTGTATCCCAACGCTTGTCCTTGTGCTGGGTACGCTGCAGCGCCAATCACATTTGCTACTGAATACCCGGTGGCCAGCGTATCTTGGCGCCCAAAGTGCCTGCCTGGACGGCCAAAACGGCCCGCAATGGCACCATCTCGAGGTGCTCTGCGTAGGTAGGCAGACGGGCGTTGGGCAGGATACAGCAAGTCCCGGTCTGCTTTGCTTTTTTTTTTTTTCTTCTTCTCTTCCTCTCCTTTCTGGTCTTCTCCTCCTCGTTCCTGCCGCTTGCTCGACAGGATGGCGGCGTCCGCCCTTTGCCCAGCGTGTGTGTTGGGCCGCCCGATGTGTTGCTCGACCCGAGGGAAGCTGACGCCGCGCCTAGTGTCGTCTGCGGCGACCAGTCAGCACCCTCGCCAGGGAAAGAGGTGGGCAGTGGCTTGTAGCTGGCTTGCTTCTCTCGGGACCTGCATGCGCAATCGCCCCGGTGTATGTACATATGTACATATCGGCATAACTTGGAAGGACAACGCGCGTCTGCAGTCGCTCGTTTGTCTGACCGCCGAGAAGCAAGATCCACGTGCTGCATGATATGGATCCGATGTAGCCGATGCTGCATGCAGGAAGCTAAGCCCCGCCTGCTGCCGCGCCTTCGCTCGGCTGACTTCCGAAGGGCACCCAGGAGCCTGGTGGCGCGCGCTCCACTGGGCGCAAAGCGCATGCATACATATGTATGTACATATATGGATGGCCAGGACCTGGGTCTTCGACCGCGCTTCCCCGCCGCCGCCGCTCCTCGTTGGTGGGTTTACCTTCTGCTTCTTCGCTCGCAAAGGCTTTGGTGGTTTACAGCTCGCCGTGACTGCTGCCAAGGTACATCGTTCAAGCAGATTTCTTCCTCTGACACCGTGCACCTGGCTCAGTTCCAGCGAAAACGGCCAGAATCAAACACAAGCAACCAAGGCAAGCAGCAAGCAGGCAGGAAAGGATCGACCCTTTTCACTCACTCGACCGCCTCTCGAACCGGCCCGCTGCGCCTCCCTCGATCGTTACCTTCCATCAATCACCACGTCCATTCCCTCGCCTCCCCTCCCAAGCTTTCTCCTTTTTGCAATGCTGCGCCATAGCAGGCGATGGTTCCTGTCACTTCTGCTATCCTGGTCCTCGTTCCGGCTCGGTCGAGGTGAGGTCGATCCTCGGTGCTTCGAGCGTCGGAAAGCCTCACACGCGCCGCAGCAGCTAACTCGTTGGCTATGTCAATGTCCTTCGCCTAACCCAACAGCCGCGACTTGTGACGAGCAGTACAGGGTCGTCGCGGGTGACAGCTGCCACGGCATCGCAGACAATCTCGTCATCCCGTTTTCGCAGCTCAAGGCCCTCAACGAGAATCCGCACTGCAAAACCCTCCAGCCCGGTCAGCTGCTCTGCGTCTGGGGAGACGCCTACCAGTGCCACAACATCTACATCGTCGGTCAGGGCGACTAGTAAGCACCGCACGCGCTCGCTCAACACTCCCTGGCACAGCACGTTGACCTACCCTCCTGGTCTGTTCGTCCAATCCAATTTGAAGTTGCGATGCCATCGCCTCGGCAGCCGGCCTGACCCTCGCGCAGCTGCAGGCATACAATCCCGACGTGAGCTGCGACAGTCTCAGCGTTGGTTCGGTCTTCTGCCTCTCGGATCCCTACAACCCGCCCCTGCAGCAACCCAGCGACCCGAACTGCTCCCGCTACTACACGGTCGCGTCCGGCGACAGCTGCCACGGTATTGCAGACAAGCTTCACATGCCGTTTTCGCAGCTCAAGGCGCTCAACGAGAACCCGCATTGCTTGAACCTCCAGCCGGGCCAGCAGCTCTGCGTGACCGGATCAGCGTACGAGTGCGCGTGGTCGTACCGCTACACTGTTCAGCTGGGCGATTCGTGAGTTGCTCTAGGCTCAGCCTTGCTCGCAAAGGAAGAATGAGCGGCTGCTTACATGTCCGCCGTCTTCGTGCCGCCTTGTCCTTCCGCTTGTCCTGCGTGGTCACTTAGATGCTCGCAGATTGCCGCCGACCACTCAATCAGCCTCGCCAACCTCGAGCTGTACAACCCGGACACGTCGTGCTCTTCACTGTCCGTGGGCTCGGTCATCTGCGTTGGCAACCCCTACGGCCAGCCCACGCCGATTGAGCCCCCGGAGACGATGCCCGAAAACTGCAAGGAGAGCTACACGGTCAAGACTGGCGACTAGTGAGAACCGAGGCAGCATTCGTCCTTCTGTGTCGGCTCTCCTCTGACAATCAGCTCGTCCCCTCTTCATGTCACTGTCTTTCCACCAGCTGCTACCAGATCGCAACCGACCATGGCCTATCGGTCGATGAGTTGCAAGCGCTGAACCCGACACTCGACTGCGCGCTCCTGGCCATCGGGGCCCAGGTGTGCGTCGTGCCGTCCGTCAAACCGCCATCCAGCACCGACTGCATTACCTACGACACCGTAAAGCTAGGCGACTCCTGTAACGCCATTGCTCAAAGGAACCAGATCACCGATTTCTACCTCCTGAAGCTGAACCCAGACGTGGGTCAAGACTGTGCCGAGCTGACGGCGGGCGAGGGCATCTGCGTCGACTCGTCGCTCAACGTTTGCGGATCCACTACGGCCGTTGCCGAGGGCGAAGGGTGCTACGACATTGCTGGACGCACCAACATCACCCTCGAGGCGTTCCTCGACCTCAACCCCGGCGTCAGCTCCGACTGCGGCAACCTGCAGCCGGAGGAGGTGGTCTGCGTCGCGGCTCGTTTGAGCTACCCTTCACTCTACAACTACACGTGCAGCCGCACTTACACCGTGCAGCCGGGCGATACTTGCAACAAGATTGCCGCCAAGCTCGGCCTCGCCTCAGCCCAGCTGGCGGGCCTCAACCCGCACGTCTCGTGCTCGAACCTGATCGCGGGCGATCCCCTCTGCGCCTACTCTCCGCAAACCAACGTCTGCCCGCAGCTGAGATACGTCGTCTCGGATGACTCCTGCTACAATCTCGCCACCAACGCATCAATGAGCCTCGTTCAGTGGCAGTCGATCAACACCTACAACGGCATCGGCGTCGACTGCACCATCCTCCCCGTCAACGACATCGTCTGCATGGCGCCTGGGAACGCGACCCTGCCAGAGCAGCCGACCGGCCAGAACGAAGTCCGGCTGCCCCTGTGCTCGACGTGCAACTTCAACTCGCACTGCTGCTCCCAGTACAGCATGTGCGCACCGCTGGCGTCAAGCCTGTGCTCCCGCGACGGCGGAGTGAGTTGCGATCCGACCTGCACGCCCGTTGGCGGAAGGCTATTCTAAGCGCTTGATCTGACCCAGCCTTCGCCGCTGAATGCTTCGTCGTGACGTTCCTCTTCACCAGTGCCAAGCCAACTGCCAAGAGGATCCGGGCGTGATCATCCCGCAGAACCCTGACGCCTTTCCGTCCAACGATCTGCCGACCAACTTTACGTGAGTTCGCACAGCGGCGTTGGCTTCACCAAAGTCATGGACCATACCCATTTTGCTGACCAGCTTGCCCTTGAATGCCCCACTGCTGCTGCAGCGGCGGCTCGTTCGCGAACACGACGGTGCCACGTTGCGCGTCGTACGAGTGCCTCTACCGCTCCACCGAGACCGACGCCGGCTCCTGCATGAATCAGACGACGTACTGGTGTCAGAGCGGAACCGAGGGATGCGTCTCGAACTGTCTTGATCCATCTCAGCACAGCACCGTCAACCTCGTTCACTACTTCCCGGTGCCGACCTTTGCCCCGCCTTCAGGCAACTTTGATCAGTGGGACGGCAACCCATGCCAAGACTCGTGCGGTGCCTCGCAGAGCTGCACGTTCGAGCTGCGCTGCGTCGACCTAGACCCCGACACGGATGAGTGCTACACATCCTTTGGGTGTCTGTACAACTGTTATGACGTGCACTGGTACGTCACTTGCTACACACCTATCGGGTCGATCCCGGCCCTTCGAAGAGCGGTGTGCGCCTCACTGACGGGGGACCCTTGAACTCGCCTCGCGACTACACATCTCCACAGGTATACCGAGGATGAACAGTATGAGGCCCAGCTTAACGGAACGTCGCTTCCACCCTCGATCACGACAAAAATTCTGGTTCCCTCTTCCACGCTCTACACTGCAACTGCCTCGCCGACTTTGCTCAAAAGGAGGAAAGAGTCTCGTCGGCTGTGACCTCTCAGTCACCTGATGATCGACCTCGTTTGGAATTCAACTACACTGCTCAGACCCTCTAGTAACGCAAAGATCTCGACGCATGCCGCGCGAGGGCACCCGCGCCGCTGCGACTGACCAGCGATTCGAGGGATTCGTACGAGGCTGAGAAGATGACTTCTGATGCACAGCGCGATGGCGACCTCGCAATGCAGGGCGATGATAGGTCGGGGAGCCTTCGTGCCTGTGCGAGTGCGATTGATCAGCTTCTGCCCGCTCAGGACAAAGAATGTACAGGCACGACGCCAGACCAAGCGAACGATAACTCATCGTCCCGCACTGCTGCATCGCGGTCTGGACATGGGCGTCCAGCCCGTGCAGAAAGAAAGGGCAGGTATTGTGTCTCGCGACGTCTACCTGTCGACCTCGAGCTGCAAATCAGCGCCGCCGCAACCAAGCTTTCACGGCGTGACCTCTCAGATCTCCATTTCTCTTGTCGAGAAGCTTGGCCCCACGACAAGAGCGGACCAGGCGAAGGGCAGGTCTTCTTCTTTGGCGGAATTCGCCTGTGCGGCGATACAATCGCGCTGCGAGATGGCGGGGAGGTGATGTGTCTTGACTGCGAAGCTGCGCTGCCGAGGTGGAACAAATTCTTGAACGCCAATGTACGTGTCGCCCATGAAGCCGTAGTTGCTCAGCGAGCAGCGTAAGAGCGAGAAGCGGTGATGATGGACCCGGACGTCCAGTGGCACCGCTAAATCGTGCGAGAAGACATCTGCCAAGATGGTGGTCGTTGCGGCCGATTCGCTCGATGGACCTTCCGAAGCGCCGGACGGCTGCCGCAGCTGAGTGCAGAAAATCTCAATGTCGCTCCGCTTGACGTACGAGGCAGCACCGGTCGAGAATGTCTTGAACTGGGTGCGCTCTGGGTCCTCCGACGCTGCCGTCCAGAGCCTTTTGTACCCCTTTTCAAGTCTCAGCATGCTCTCGATGTGATCGGCATCGAGGCTGCGGATCTTCTCCCAGACCCGATCGTCCCCGAGCACCTCGAAGCCTGCCGGAGACACCTTTGCGCAGCTCGACATCTCGACCATCTCGCGACAGCGCCAGTACGACTCGGGCACGTCGTATCCGAGCGAGCGGTCCCACAGCACGCAGTCGACCTCGAGCTGCGGTCGCCTCGCGCGCCTACCCAAGAAGGCCGTGTCCAGCACCAGACGTCCGGGAGCGGAAGACTGTGCGGCTTCGGGCGAAAGGTGTGCGTCGATCTCGGCCAGCGTCACGCGCACGCAGGCCGTGATGCAGTTAAAGAACTGCGCACCCACCGGGTACTCTACCCACGGCTCGCCCTCGTCCCGGGGCGACTCGGACCAGGGCTGCTCCCGGATGCTGCAGTCGTATTCTTCGGTGGCGCCACTGCAGTGCACAGTTTGGTGGAATTGAGGTCGAGGCCGGGAAGGGCTATTCAGCTGCAAGGACGGACGGTCACGGTGTCCTGCGGCTCGCTGTGAGCCCATGACGCACTCACTTGTACTGGTCCAGATGGAGGTAGCGACGCGGATCCCTCTGCATCTCCCCTTCGCTGACCACGAGTAGGCAAAGACGATCGCCAAAGTCGTCATACTCTTGGTGTACATCGTACAGTCCGAGCTTGACGAGCAGCTCGATCTGCTGCGAGCGGACGCTACGGAGGCTGCCTGCCATCGATCCGCGCGGTCCCGAGCCAGTGAATGCCATCGCGCGGAACAGGCCCGGTCCGTACTTTTCCTCGTCCTGGAACGGCTGGTTGACGAGGTAGTCCACCATGGGCTTGATCGACGGTGCAGGATCTGAGCGAAGGACGTTTTGAAATGTTCTGACGACCATACTTGAGGGGATGAGGTCGTGGAAGTCGATACGGGTCGAGAATCCTTTAACGGCCAGCGAGGAGGGTCGGAAGGGATGGAGGACGCTCGCATCAAGCTCAAAGACGTGGAGCGCGACGCAAGGCCGGCGCTGCTTCCACGCCTTCCTCGCAATCGTCCAAAGCCGATCATGGAAACGACGACGCTGTTCCTTAGCCAAGTCGGTCCCAGCAGTGCCGGATGTGCACGGATCCGTGCGCCATTTCGGTGCGAAAATCGAGTCGAGGAGATCGTAGTTGTTGCTGAGCGCCTCAAGGACGTGGCAGAGGACGTGGGATACCGACTGGAGTTGCGCAGGGATGCCCTCGTCGAAGAGGACGGGGATCAGGTTGAGAGACTGACTGCGTCCTTGTGTAGAAACGTGCGATTCGCGATCGATTCCCTCTCCGTCCTTTAGCAGCGCTTTGACGTACTGTTCTCGCTGCGCCGCGGTGTCGGGGCCCGGCGGCCATGCACTTGGTGAGGGTGAGCGGATAGCGTGCGACATCAGAGTTTCGTGCTGATGAGCTTGTTTCCTTCTCTACGCCGACAGTGTGTGTCTTGGCGGTGCAGCGTAGTGTCGAGTGCAAGGCGTTGGCGGCGCAAAGGTGGTGTGGTTGTAGAAGAAAGGCGGAGCGATCCCTCTGCTTCGGCGGATACGTCTTCCGATTGACCCACAGTCTTCCGGCCGAGAGATGGACCCATGATGCTGCTCGTCCGGTCAGCTCGACCGGCGTCTTCGCACATTCGATTCTTTTCTTGTTGCCTAATCGGCGCGGTCTTCTTTCTTCGCCGACTGCATTGAGATATCGCTTGCCTCTGAGCCACGACCCGCTCGAAGAAAGCCGAAGACCTGCTCAGAACATTCTTCCTTCAACGTGCACCACGCCAAAATGTGAGCAGTAGTGAGCTGGCTGGCTTCGTTACGAGTCTTCTCAATCGCGCGACGCCGCAGCGCTACGGTCGGTGGTTGAGCCTGCAAAGAGGTTTTATGGTAGTCATCAAGAAAGGAACACATCCATGCACAGGAACCGCTGGGCAGCATGCATGCTGCTAATGCATCAGTTACTGCATGTGTCGCAGCGTGGATCTTTCGCATCACGACAGGCGGCGGTAGGCGCACTGGACGCATGACGCATGGCGCACATTAAGGTGCGTCGGATTCTCACGGAAAGCTGCTGAGGTCGCTCCGGGCGCCAAGCACACGCGTTCCTGAGGCAACTGCGTGGACCCAGAAATTGCACGTCCATCACCGCCGGATTCGGTTCTCGCTCTCCCGAGCTCCTCGCGGCGCCGACGTTCTCTACTGTCTGGGCCGTCTGCGTCCTGCTCACTTCTTCCGATCCGCCCACGCAGCAGACTTTCGGGCCACGGTGTTGGGAGGTGCCACGCCGCTTACTGTATGCCGTCCGTATCATCCTTTGGCGAGGGAGCGGCGCATCGCAGCTCCGCTTGACCACACAAGTGCGAGCGAAACTTTTTCCTAGCTTCTCGTCCAACGAGATGGCGCCAACTCGTACAATCTGGCTGAGGTCGACAGTTCCACTCTCAGCGAGTCGTCGCTACACTCGAATCGATTGTCTGGCAGCCTGTCATGCACCTCGACCTTCGGCCGAAGGGCAAACTTGTGACTGCCGGTTTCCGCTCATGGTCAGAAATTCGATGGGCAGAGTCGCTCGTCAGGCAAAGAGCTAGACCTAAAGGCGCCTGCTAGCGCCTGAAAGGCTGTATAAGTACTTTACACCGTGCTGTCTCCCTTGCTTTGCCTCTGTTCAGATCTTTCGACCCTCCTGACATCCGACCACAGTCTCGACTCTTGCCAAGATGAGGTCCAAACCTCGACACATTTCTCGCAAAAACCTGCTCTTCATCAGCTATGCCATCCTCGCTTGCCTGCAAGTCTCGTTCGGTTCCGTTCTGAAGCAGCACCGCCATAATGATCGCGCACACCCCCGTCATCATGCTTTCCGGCAGAGTAACCAAAGCAAGAGTGCTGCGCCGGCGCAGATGAGTTCCGAAATCGATGAACCTACTTGGCGCGCCCGCTCGACGATCAGCATGTTCGATCAGGATGGCGACGGAACGCTCAGCTACGATGAGTTCGAATTCGGTCTCAACTTTCCGTGGCCGTCGGCCGAAGACGCGACTCGTGGCCGTGCTGTTTTCGGCTTCCACGAGCCTCGGCCCGCTTTCGATGACGCCGATCGCAACGGCGATGGCTTCCTCGACCTCGACGAGATGGAGCTGCTGCTCACACAAGAGGAGAACTTCCTCCTTCAGAGCACGGCGGAAGCCGCTTATCACAATGTGACTCAGCAAGAGGGCAAATGTTTGACAATGAGCGATAACGCGGCGTCCTGCCGGACCGAACAGCTCCTTTCGTGCGCAAGTAAGTTCCGAGTTGACGAGCGCTCCACGCTTGACAGGCATCGGCTCCCTATCGGAGGCGACCGAGCATTGACATTGATACACTTGCCTTTCTTCACTCCGTCGTGACCATCAGGCCATATAGCCATCGCGGAGAACTCGTGTCGGCCCCACGGTAGCAATGCCGTCGAGCGCTGCATCCTCAGCTCGGACTGCAGCAGCATGTGCGCTTGCATCAGAAGGGCAGAAGACTACGCCCTGCTGCCTCGATCCGCGTCAGAAGCGCTCGTACAAGACTCGCTCGAAAAGCGTGAGTTGGGCGTAGCCTCGCTGTTCAGCACACGGGTCGGCCTCTGACATGTCATTCCATCGCACAGGCCTGGTACCGCTGGTGATCGGCGCCGTTATTGTTGCTGGCGTCGGTATTGCGGCTCAGATCGACAAGCTCACGAGCGATATTCAACTAGGAAACGACCTCGAGATGGCCGAGCTCTACAGCGGCTACGTCTGGGACAAGAAGACGCCGCAACGCCCTTGCAGCTTGAGCGTCTTCTGGTCCGACTCTTGCGGTTTCATCAACACGCGCGTGTCGGCTTCTTGCACGCCGACAGGTACCCGGTGAGTCGTCGTGCCGACTTCGGCGAGTCATGAGTGCCCACCGGCTGCGAAGACCGAAGCAAGCCAGGCATTGACACGATCCCGGTCCCGATGCTCTGCTTCCTCGAACAGACTGTACTCGCATTCCTGCTGGGATTGGTGGAGGACAGGCTCGCAGAGGTGCAGCCTCGTCAAGTGCCGCTCGCTCTGCTATTCGGTGAACAGCGAAGGCTGTCCGTGCAGCAACTTCAACTACAGGGTCGTCAAGAATGCCGAATTCTCCGGCGACGTCCTGGCAAGGTACACCGTGGCTGGTCCGGAGTGTGTCAAGCTCTGCAACGACAACGCAGAGTGCGGCGTATGGTATCTCTTGCCCTACTCGAGCCTTCCTAGAGACAACTGCATCCTTCGGCGAGCTGGAGGGACTGCTACGCGCGTAGATGGTACGATCTCTTCGGTGAAGTCGCTGGCGAAAATTCACCGTTGCCGTGCACTCGCGCTCATGCATTTCCCCTCATCTTATCAGGCATCAACTCCTACGTCAAAGTGCGAGGTCCCGAGAAAGCATCATGTCCATCGGACTCAATTTTTACAGCGGATTTCGATTCCGAAGGGTACCTTTTACCGCAAATGCGACGTCGGAGTCTGGAGATACCTCCCTCACTGGACCTTGAAGAACGCGCCAGCGACGATTTGAAGCAGCAGCTTCCGTTCAGACTCACGGTATGTGTCTTGACTAAATCGTTTAGAGAAGCCGGCACATTAACTGACTTCCGCCTCGGACGGCTTTGCAGCCCGCAATTGTGCAAAATGGGGCGGTCAGTCCATCTATCTAAGCCTCTTTCTCTACCGGCTTGCACTGAGATCTAGTCAGGAATGCGTCTGATTCATCCCTTTCCCTCGCAGATCATCCTGGCAACGCTTTATGCCACCTACTATCGAATTACGGCTCAGCCATTGTTCAACTTCCAGCAGTACTATGGCGCCACAGCATTGCCTAACCTGAACTTTCCTCAGGTGGGCGGGAATCGTGCAATCAACACAAACACCGGAGACTGGGGACCCGCGGAGATTGCGGAGCGCGTTAGTACAACCTTCCTAGCTCTCGTCTTCCGGGACACAGCTGCTGCGCCCCATGCGTTCCTGGACACGAGCACCATGCAGCCACGGCAAGCACAACTCTTTCCCCCAGACTTGGTCAGTGTGATAGCGGACAACGAGGGACTCATCCAATCACAACGGTCATGGAACTACGAAGGGGAGCGCAATGCGAACACCAACTATCCACGCCTCGCAATTGAGACAGCGTACGCCGGCGACGTGACATTCCACCAGCACGGAGCCATGGGCCCTTTCCCGCTAGAGGCTGCCTTTATACTCGCCACACAGCTGGCCGGTGTCAACTTCAGGATTGTCGGCGAAAGGTTACGTGCAAACACCCGACGTATCCGAAATTGGTCAGACTTCAATCTTCCGCCGTCCCACGAAGTATTCCCAGGTCGCATTGGTAAGCTCGTCCATCCCACATGCACGCGCGCATGGAGACTGAGAAATTCTGGCGATCGAACCTCCATCGAATCGCAGAGGGGCTCGTCGATGCTCAGTGTCCCACAGTTGGAGCGATCACAACAGTGCGGGGCGGCGGCTCGTCCATCGATCAAGTCACATACGAAGACGATGGCGTGGGGACTGCGGTAGTGTTCGATTTCGTGAGTGTTTTTGACAATGATCGGTATGGGCGACAGAGCGGAGACAAGGACGCGTCAGCTGAAGACAGGGCTTTTGAACATCCTCAGTCAGAGACCGAGGATCCGGACGACTACCTCTTTGTCTTTGCCGTGCACACGAATGACCCAGAGTCGAGAATCCGAATCGACGAGCGCAACGCGTTGACGGAGCCCGCGTATCGGCGCTACACGGTTCAAACGTCCAGCAACGGACCGGCGCCTAGACTTCCGTATCAGCAAGCACCGACAGGCGCGCCTCAAAGAGGAACACGGAACTTGATCCACGCCCACGCCGGTATCATTCGCCGATCGGAGCACCAGGCGTATCTCGATAATCACAGCGAGTTTTTTAGGTACCAACAAATTGGTGCCTTCCATCTCTACATCCATCCCGAGGACGGACCCGGACAGTTCCGGGAGACGGGGCCTCGCATGCCGCCTCCTCCCTGACTTCGCAATAGAAAGCCGAGTACCGTAGACGTTGTTGAGAAGCTAAGACACGACCTAGTGGCGATTGAAAATGGTTCCAGCTGACGTTGCTACCATCATTCTGAGACTGTGTCCATCTCAGCCAGTGACCGGGTGTATGCCTTTGACGGTACCCCTTTTGTGGGGTAGCGCTCCTGCACGGTCTATCAGGAGATCCCTTCCTTTACCGTCACGACTCCGGACCAGGCAAGCGACGGATCTTTGTCTAGCATTTCTGGCGAAGAAGCCATGCTATTGATCGGCGAAGAGGAGGGGGGATAGAACGTCTTGATAGCCAGGGTCCTTGAGGAATTAAATGCGGCTTGTTGTGCCGCGATGAACTCGCCTTCGAGCGTGCCGTATTGACTGGTCTCGCTGCGGATCAGTGAGAGACGGTGATGGTGTATTCTCACGTCTTGCGGGTCAGGAGGTATCGAAGAGAAGGCGTTGGCTAGGATCGTTGTCTTGGACGACCCTGATTGTGCGAAAGAGGGGAGCGGTCGTCGCAGCAGCGTGCGGAAGGCTTCCAGATCGGCGCGTGAGAACTCCGCGATGCCGGATCGGAGCTTGTCGCACAGGGATGCTAAAATGCTTCCCCCCGGCTGCGAGAACACCAGGTCGAGAGCGCGGTCCTTGTCCTTCCAAATCATGCTATCGATGTAGTTGGTATCGAGCTGTCGGATGAGGCGTCACACGCGGTCGTCTTCGAGCACTTCGAACCCGGCCGCTGGCCCCTTTACGCAGCACGAAAGCTCGGCCATCTCGCGGCATCGCCAGTAGGGTTCCGGCGGATCGCAGCCCAACGACCGTTCCCAGACGACGCCGCGCACCTCGAGCCGCAAACGTTTTGTTGCTGCTCCCGAGAAGCCTAGGTCGAGCACCAGCGTGTTGTCCGGCCCGCTTGATAGACGACCGTCGATCTCGGCCAGCGTGACACGGACGCAGGCCGAGGCGTGGTTGAAGAAGCTGGCGCCGACCGGATATTCGACCCACGCCTCGGTTTCGTGGTGGAACGGCTCCGTCCACAGCTCCTCGCACTTCCCCACCGGTCCACGACGGCTGCACCACTGCGAGAGCGAGGTCGAGGGGAGGCAGGCCGTGGGCGTACGAGGCTGGAAGGTCAGACCCGGGAAGTCAAGTACATTCGCAGCCCGGGGGCCACGACCTTATCCTTTTGGAAACTCACTTTTGCTCGTCAAAGTGCAGGTATCGGCGACCATCGCGCCGTCTCTCCTCCTCGCTCACAATAAGGAGCGTGATGGCGAGGTCGTGGAAAGATTCGTCCTGCTCGCCATCATGAAGCTCTCCGGATAGGTGCAGGTCTAACCGTCGTAGTCGTAGTTTGAATGACGAAGTCCCCCCGCGACCCACAGGCGTGGTCCGTGACTGATAAACCTTGAACGTCATTTCTTGCGGAACGCCTCGACCCGAGCATGTCGAGTGACTGTTTCGGCCAGGGTCGACGAGCTGGAGCAGATGAGCTGTTGCACTGCATCCAGGGTCATGCTCGCTGAGACGATGTCGTGGTAATTGAGGCGGGTCGAGATGCCAGAGATGGCGAGGGACACGAGGATGGGGCTAGGTCTGGGTTCTCAGCGTCGAGCTTAAAGGCAACCAGCGTGAGACAAGGGAGCTCTTGCTTCCAGGCCCTCCTGGCGATGCTCAACAGGCGATCATGGAAGCGGCATCGTTGCTCAACGGCGGGCTCGAGAGGGGCCGCACATGGCGTGCTCTGCGACGGGTGTTGCGGCGCAAAGATTAAGTCGAGCAGGTCGACATTGTTGGTGAGCGACTCAAGGATGCGGCCGAGGATGAGCGAGCACTGTTCGAGTTGCTCCGAGGCACGTTCATCAAGGATGACCGGAAAGATGTTGATGGGCTGACCGCATCCCTGTGTCGAAACAGGCTGCGTGCGGTCGATTGCACACCCAACCTCGTCCTCCTCGCCTAAAAATGCACGAATGTACCCGTCTCGCTGCTGAACGGAAGCGAAGCTGGGTGGCCAAGACTTGCTGCTCAGCTCAGGAGTAGAATGGGGAAGCGATGTGCCGGAAGGCGGCGCTGCCATGGTGCAGCCCGCATGGACGTGGGGACGGAGCTCGGCCCGGACAATAAGGAAGCCAACGCGAATATGTTTGCGGTATGATGTACTTCGTCTCGCCCACGCGCCCTCTGACCTGTCGCTGGAGCCGGGGACCAGGGGACGTTTGCACGGGGGAGGTAGGTTTCTAGTAGTGGCGGTGGTGGTGCGACGCAAAGAAGACGGTGTGCCTCCACGGCGTCCCCTTCGCCATCGCTTCTGGCGCGCCCACCTGCACTGCTTACCCGTCGTTGGCCCGAGCGCGCATCGCCGTCTCAGCAAGCGGTAAGGACTGCCGTACAGGAAGACCACATCGCTCCGTCACGGAATACTTCTGTCACCCGGTCCACCCATCCCGACCACACCAGATGAGAGCCGCAGTGGTAGGCGTGGCAGCCGTCCCGCCCGACCCCTGGGTACCAGTCGCAGCCTCGCAGGTCGCCTGGTAGGAGAGGCAAGGAGCGCAAAGGTGCGAGCGAGTTGGAAAAGGAACGGACAACGGCGTAGAGTACAACAATTACATCGCGCAGAAAAGACACATCATGGGAAACGCGTGGACCGGTGCGGGCTGGGACCGGAGACGGGGTGGCGTAGCGGGCGCGGAAAGAGCACGCGTCGACGACGCCGATCGCCGCTGGACTTTGGGCTTCTTGCGAGGCGAGGAGGCAGGTTGGTGTCGAGAAGAGGGGCGGGTTGACGAAGGTTCAGAGGACGGGCGATGAGGTTTCGCTCGGGCTCAAGCTGCAGCCTCGGCCAGCCGTAGCGCAGAGAACAAGCTTGGTGTGCGCAGGAAATGTCGTAGAGGTCGAGACGAGATGGGCGCGCCGGCCTTGCTGAGACCTGACCGAGGGTGCCGCCCCTGTCCGTCGGCGAGAGGATGCCCGTCGCTTGAGTCTCGATTGCCTCATTCGGCACCGCCACCGGACGCCTTCTTCTTGGACGAGCTCGCTTTGATCACTGTGGGCATATCGCAAGGTCGGGTCCAAGGCGTGTGAGTTCAGCAGTCGTCCTTTCGACCTGGGCTGGGCTAGCTCGGCTCGGTATCGCGCGGTCACACTCACGAGACTTGTGGATGTGAGGCAGCACACCACCTCCGGCGATGGTGGCGCGGACCAGGCTGTCCAGCTCCTCGTCTCCTCGGATGGCAAGCTGCAGGTGGCGCGGAGTGATGCGCTTGACGCGCAGATCCTTGGAGGCGTTTCCTGCTCAGCGGGGAGATCGGACAGGAGAGCGGGATGTCGAGGGTTAGCCAGGGGTCGGTCCATCGGCATCCGCGGCGCTGCTCTGCGCTGCAACTCACCTGCGAGCTCGAGCACCTCGGCAGTCAGATACTCGAGGATGGCGCTGGCGTAGACGGCGGCCTTTGCACCGATGCGGACGTGGTTCTGGGTGCGGTTCTTGAGGTGGCGGTGGATACGTCCGACGGGGAACTGCACAAAGGATCCAGCGAGGATAGGGGTGGATGCAAATGGGCAAAGCCCGAGCCGGACGACGGAGAGGTGCAAGGTCAGGATCTGGACTCTGTCGAGTGAAGGGCTCGCCAGCGCGCCCATCGATGCGCCTGCGACGCTGTATGGCAGCGTAACGGATCCCGGGGAGTTGAGGGCGCCGCCGGAGAGCCTGATCGTGTCCGGGCAGAGTCCTTGAGCCCCGAACGCCTGATCGCCATGCCGGCCGCGGATGGATGCAAGAACTGCCACGCCGCTCTTCTGGAACAAAACGCAATGACTCACCTGGAGACCCGCCCTGGAGCTCTGGGTGACGCTGGCCTTCTTGCCATCCGCGGCGCCTGAGCCTGAGGCCTTGGCCGACGATCCGGCACCTCCCTTTCCACCTTTGGCGCGAGGGTCAGACATGCTGGAGGCCACGTCGATGTCGGGACGGCGAAAAAGTGGTCTGGCGGGTGGCCAAACGGGGCGTGCGGCTAGGTCGGATCTGCGCTTCGCAACTCAAACGGCGGGCCAGAGGACAGGCGCGTGCGCGAACGAGGGGGTGGTCGAGGTGAGCGGGGTTCAACCTCTCTGGTCGCAAGGAAGTCCTGGTGTGACGGCGGCTGCAAGGTCTGGACGTCGGTTTGGCAAGGTCGAGAGTGTCGGAGGGAGACGAGTGGATGGACGGTGGATGGAGGTCGCAAACGAAGACAGGACAGGGGATGGAAGGACCCTCCAAGGGGGCCCGGCCGAACTGCCCAGGCCTGGCTGGCCGGCCTGCCTGCCTTGTGGCCTGCGCGCGACGCGACAGCGCATCCGGCAGTCCGGCCTGCTGCAGCGTCGGTGGGGCTGAAAAAAGGGCGAGCTCTGCTCCCGCGCCTTCATGTGGCCTGGCCTGCTGGGCTGTGCGTGCACGCCCACCGCCCGCCAGGCCAGGCCAAGCCAGAGGGCCGCTCAGCAGGCCGGGCAAAAGCGAGAAAAAATCCCGGCCATCGGGAGCAGACCCGGCCATCCGACCCAGAGGCCTGCCTTTGTCGCCTGGCCTTGCGTGGCTCGGCCAGCTCGATAGCATGCTCGGCGTTGCCTACCAGGGCCTAGGTCGGCCGTCGCTGTGCCGTAAGTGCGTGTTGCTGAATGGTTGGAGGTGCTGGCCGGTCAATGGCGAGCTGAACTGGCCAGATGCTCGAGGTCGGTCGGATGGGCCGCACCTCTGCTTCGCCAGCTCGAGAAGCGCAGCTGGCCAGACGTCGGGGGAAGGTGAGGATCGGATGCTGCGCCGCGACGACAAGCCAGGTTGATTGCACTTCGTCGGTGGGCGAGCTGAACGTCGTCGGGAGCGGGCCGCCGACCGAGATTCGAAACCTGACGAGCAGGCTGTGCAGCGAGCACCAAAGGAACGCAAGCCCTTTGGCCCGATCGGCGACGGCTGGAAGGCGGGTTGGAACGGTCCGTTTGGATACACAACCCTGTGCTGCCGGCCTCTGATATGCTGTCGTGGCAGGCAGGGAGCACACTCAACGCCTGCTGGATCAGGCGTGATTGAAGTAGCAGCAGCCGACAGCGCCGGTCACAGATGGGTCAAGGGAGCGTCGACGTCAGCTGTTCGGTGGTCGACCATTTGGTCGGTTGGTCGGTCGGGTGGGCGATATTCAGCCGGTGTCGGGATGGCCGGCGTCCAGCTCGACCTGCGTCAAGCCAATGGGAGTTCTGTGATGGCCACAGCGAGTGCAAGCGGGTGGAACAGGGTGAGAGAGAAGGTCGACGTCGGGCGCTGAGGATGAGGGTGCGAACGGTGGGCCGCAGGTAGACTGGCTCGCGGACGAGGACGAGGACGAGGACGCCTCGCTGCGGGCTTCGACGAGGGGCCTGTGCGCGATGTGGAGCGAGCCGGCCTGCTGCTGGTCTGACCTCTCCGGCTCCCGAGCCAACGCCTCTGACGGAGAGCAGGGTTGGCTGACAGCTCCCCGACAACTCCCCACGCCATCCCCTGCGACGCTCGGTCCGCCACCGGCTGGATTGCACTACCATCACCCTATCACCGCCACCCATATACTCTGCCACACGCGCTGACGGACCGGCCCGCTCGTCCGGTTGGACGGCCTTTCCTCGTAACTCCTCGACGCGAGACGCAGAGCCTTGCTCTTGGATCGCGTCCGCCGGCCGAATCGCCCCAGTCGCGAACCAGCTTTCCTCGGGGGTCCCTACCTTGCCCTCGGAGGCAGCCTGCTCTATCGGCCGACGTCTGCAGATACTGTCAACGAACCATAAGGGAGGCACTTCGACATGGTCACCACGGCGCCTCTCGCAGCGCCCATCTGCTTTCCTAGGCGCGCGGTGCCGCCAGCCCCGTCGACGACAGCAGCCAACACCGGCGACGGTGCCATCAACCTGCAGCCGCGTCCCTGGACAGCGGCGTGCCCAGCTGGCCTCCACCGACAGATTTCGACGGCGAACGGCAAGCTCGATGCTGCGGCAATGCTTGAGGCGGAAGAGGACCTCGATGAACTATGGGGCCAGAGTGTCGGCCAGGCTGTCGACCCGCACGCCTCCTCGCAAGCCTCTGCCACGATGCCTCCGACGACTCGCTCGGTCAGAGTCACCTCAATGCTGACCTGGGACGAGGCCGACGTGAACGCGGTGCTCAGCGCAGCGTCGGGCTCTTCCAAAGATGACGGCGAACCTCAGGTTCCCCAGATCACAGCTCGAGACCGAAGCGAGGCGTGGCGCTCCGTCTCGACTGGGCCGTCCAGCTGCGTCCCGCACGCAGCCTCTTCTACCTCGACGAGTCTTCTGCCCGGACCTGGGCGGTTCACGGCAGGTATCGGGCCAATACGGGGGCGCATGGTCGCCATCGGCCTTTCCGATGGGATCACCGTGCTTTACCAAGCTCGACAGTCCTCGTCTCCCTGGCCAGATATCGAACCTGGAGGGACATCCGCGGCGGCAGCTCAAGAGCAAGTCGACGTGAACTCACCTGGAAGCACCTCCCTCGTGCGTGACGGTGCGGTCTCGAGCAGCAGGACCCATCTAAGCATTGCCGACCCAAATCCGGCAACGACGCGGCCCTCGTCGATCCGGAGCTCGAGTCGCATCAGCTTCTCCCGCGAGGCTAGCCCGGGGAACGCCTCGATGCCGTTCGAGGCTTCGCGCAGCTCGCTGCCTGGACCCTCCACGGCCTCGATCAGCACGACGAGCTCCACCTCGGCGGCCTTGCAGATCGAAGACCCCACCGCCGCCGTCCTGGCCGTAGAGACCAACATCACCGCGGTCGGCGAGTCTGTCAGGAGCCCCACCCGGGCTGCCGAGCACGAGCTAGAGACTCAGAAGGCTGCAGCAGAGCGCGGCGACCACAAGCACAGCATGATTGGACGGACCGTCGAGGCCCTCGGACTGGCCAGCTCGCACCACCGACACCACGCTTCGCAGGAATCGATCTCAGGATACAAGGCCGCATCGGCGAGTGGAGGAAGCGGCAACGGCGGCAGCACGAGCGGCCTCGATGCGCGGCGAAGGTCGATGCAGCCCCTCTCCGGCCAGCCCGCGCCCGAACAGGCTCCAGCGACAAGAAACATCCCTCATACCTCGGATCCATCTGCGGGCACTTCTCCGTTGGGCAGCCGTTACCCCTCCAGCCTTTCGCTCGACACCTTGGCAGAATCGGGGCGAGCCAACAGCGGAGAGGCCTCGGAAGCACCGAGTGGCGACCCCGAGGATCGCTCCCTGAGACCGCTGCTCCGCCTCTCCGATGCCGATCGATCCGCCATTGCCTCGCTGCAGCTCTATCACGACGGCAGCCGCCTGTGTCTGCTGGTCGTTCACCGCGAAGGCAGGGTCTGCGCCTGGTCGTTGCAGGACGGAAACCAGGTCTGGTCCGTCGACCTGGCTCAGACAAAGTGGACGCCGGAAAGTATATCGCAGCAGAACAGGCCCGGTGACGTCGAGCTGCACGGGTCGCCATCGCCTTCAGGGCCCTTCGACTCGCTGACACCCATGTTTGCACAGCTGAGCTTGTCGATGTCAAAGGTCGGCTCGGTCGGAACCTCGAAGTCGCTCCGAGGCACCTTGTCGGAAGGCCCCGCGGCCTCGTCCGAAGGCGAACCAAGGCTCAAGGATGGCACGGCCATGTGGCTCGCATCGGAGACGCAGATGCTCTCCTCGTGCGGCAGGAATCTGGCGGCCCTGCGAGACCGGTGCAGCGGCGCGCTAATCCTCGTCGATCTTCAAGCCGGCGAAGTCGTGGCGTGCGAAGCGCTCGATGGAAGCTCGATCGAGTGGACGCCCCTAGTGCGCAGGCCGTCGCCGACCAGCTGCGTGATCGAGTTTGTCGAAGCGGGTGATGATGGCAAGTGCAGGCTTCGCAGAAGGGTGCTTGCACTCGCTGCCACGGGAGAGGCGGCCCCAGCCGAGCTCGCAAATGGTCCCGACTCGACCTCGCCGAACGTGCCCATTGATGGACAAGAGATCGACGGGCAGCTCAAACCGTCCAGCCGCATCCTGCTGACGGGCGACCGCCTGATCAGCCTTGGGCGCGACAGCCTGGCAACGTACAAGAGGGACGCGGCTAGAATCGCAGTCGAGCACCAGCTTACAATCGAAGGCATCGCCGGGGTCATCGGCTACGAGCCAGAGTCGGAGGTTCTGACGTGCAGTACGAAGGCTGGCTTCGTCCGATGCCAGCTCGGTCAGCAGCACGAAGCGGATCGCGTGACAACGACCTCGGACCAAGCCTCGTTCGAGATGGCAGTCCCGGTCCGAGAAGCCCCTCCATGCTCGTCGAATCGGCTGCTCGGGTGCCATCACGACCCTGTCGGCAGCCTGCTGGTCTCGGAGCTCGACATGCACACCGGAACCCTTACGGACGTGACTTCGCCGGCCACCACGCCCCCGACGACTTCGGCCTCACCAGCCGGGCCAGCCGGCCGTGCCGCGGCCCAGCTGACGGCAGTCTTGCCGCTGAGCCTCGAGCGCATTGTGGTCGCTTTTCGGTCCGGCGGGATCCGATCCGTCTCCCTGACGGAGCTGGCCCACGCCGAGGCACTGCAGGAGATGACGCGAACGCGCAACTCGATTGGCAACGGAAAGACGATCATCACGCTGCGCCAGGTGACCAGGCCGCGCTCCGGCACCAAGATGATCGTTGGCGGTTCTGCGCAGGGCGACGTGGCCTTCTGGGACGCCACCACGCTGGAGCTGGCGGCGACCTGGACGATGTCGACTGCGCCCATCGAGTCGCTCGTGTCGTTCGGCGACGACGACAACACGCTGAGGCTGCACGGCTGCCTGGCCTGCGTGGCCGCCGACGGCAGCGTCTCGATCGTCCTCCTCGACGGCCTCCGCTTCCTCTACACGATCCCCGGCCGCGAAGGCCGGCTACGCGCGCTGGCGGTGCGGGCCGATGAGCTGCTGCTGACGTACGACGACGGCAAGGCCCGCGTGTGGGACTTGCGCAGCCAGGAGCTCCGCCGCAGCATCGGCATCGACCAGGCGCAGTCTCTCCTGCTGGACCGCAAGGGATGGTGGACGGTGCGGGACGTCGAGCCGTTCAGCGCCCGAAACAGCGGCACCGCCGGCGTCCTGTCGTCGCTGAGCTGTGCGAGGGGTCCGGACGCCGCGACGCTCGTGGCCGACTTCCGGAGGAGCATCGAGGTGGCCTCGCGGACGCTGCTGGGCGTCCAGAAGCAAGGCTCCGTCTACGTTGCCACGCGCAAGACTCGGCCCGGCATGCCGTTCGACGAGGCGCCGGCCAGCAGCACAGCTGACAAGCCGGATGACGACGAGGCGGCACCGACGGTGCCCATGCAGGGCCTCGCTGCGCGCAAGGCTCTGGGGATCCTGCGTCCGCTCCTCGCGCTCGTGCTGCCGATCGGGATGCGCCAGGACTGGGACGCGGACGCTGCCTATTTGCTCGGACTCGTGGACCGCCCGGAAGCGTACGACGAAGGGCAAGCTCGCCTTTCAGCCCAACAGTTCCACCTGGGCATCGGCAGCCCGGACTCGTTGGCGCAGCCGTTGGTCGAAGATGCGGCCCAGCTGTGGACAATCTCGTCTCTGCTGTCGACGCAGCGCGCGCTGGTGTGCACCTCGATCCTGAAGGTCTTGAGCCACGTACAGGAGCTCCAGACCGCGGCGCTCCGGATGATGGACGCCGTCTGCGATGGTGTTGCAGAGACGGTCGGGACCACGCTGCTCAAGGACTTCTCGCTGCCGGCCTTGACCGTCTACCTTCTCGACTCGAACCTCGAGCTCAGGGAAGCTTCTCGCCGTCTCTTTGCCGCCGCTCTGGCAAGGCTGCCTCAAGAGCAGGTCGAGAGCCTGTGCGCTGCCTGGCAGCCGCTCTGTGAGTCCGGACCGACAGATCAACAGCTCTGGAAAGCATTGAGTCTGCATCTGAGCTTCTCTTGTCCCCGCTTGTGCCGCTGCGACACGAAATCGGGGGCTCTTTATCCTGCAGTGCCCGTCAATCAGCCGCCCGTCATGGCCCCGACGGCGTCGACCGCCTTGTCTCTGCTCGGCCACGTCGCCGTGACGCACTACAAGACGCTCTCGCCGCTCCTGCTCAAGCAGATCTCGCAGTCGATCACCGTTCTCCTCGACGACGGGGCGCAACCGGTGCACCAGTCGATTGCCATCGACCTCTGCTCGGCGGGCTTCTCGATCTGGCAGCACTACCTCGACGCCACCAACGTCGTGCGCTCGCTGTTCGCCCTCGCCACCGACAAGGATGCAGCCTCCAGCGCCAGCGGCAGCGCCTCATCGACCGCCACGGCCACGAGCGCAAAAGAGATTCGCACGCTGGCGCGAGCGGCGACGCTGCAGATCGCCAGCGAGAACACGCCCCTGTTCATGACGACGCTCAGCATCGACATTCTCAACGCACGCAGCCCCGCCCACTGCAGCGCGACGATGAAGCTGGTCGCGTTCATGGTCCGCAAGGTACGAGCGCGACCTCGTCGGCGCTACTGTTCCGGGCCAAACGACAGCCGTCGACGCGCGACTGACGCCGGCCTAGCCTCCTCTTGCTACCCTGCCTTCCCAAATCCACCCGCAGAAACCCGAGGTGCTGTATCCGAACCTGCCGCGCCTGGCCGAGGCGGTGGTCAAGTCGCTCGACCCGCGCAACCAGCGCGACGTCGTCCTCTCGTCGGCGACGCTCATGATTTCGGAGCTCGTGTCGACGTACCCGTCGATTTCGTTCCACGAGAAGTCGCAGCGGCTCGCCGTGGGGACGCACGAGGGCGCCGTGATCCTCTACGACCTCAAGACGGCCACGCGCCTGTTTGTGCTCGAGGGCCACCGCATGGCCGTGTCGGGCGTCGATTTCAGCCCAGACGGCCGACGGCTCGTGACGGTCAGCGAGCGCGAAGGGCTGGTGTGCGTGTGGAAGGTGTCGGTGGGCATCCTGGGCTTCTTTACGCCCGGCGTCGCGCCCAAGCAGGGCGGGAGCGCCGAGGGCCGCGCCTTTCGCGAGTACCGCGTGCCGGCCGTTTCCGACGACGATGGTGGTGGTGAGTCGACGTTGCGATCCCGTCATTCCTTGTCGCAGCGACGCCCCGGCCGCCGGCCAGTCGAGACCGTCGCTGACTGCATCACCTCTCTCTCTCTCTTCACCTCTCGCCTCCCCTACTCTCTTTGTCTTCTCGTCCGGGCTGGATGCATGATAGGCATGCTGCCTCGCACCCGCTTCGAGTGGACGGGCGAGCGAACGCTGAGGGCCACCATCGGCGAGACGACCATGAACCTCTCGGTCGACTGATGCGCTGCGGCGCTGAGCTTACCCTGCCCCACTATGCCCTGTTCTGCCCTGACCCACCTGCATGCCCATCCTTCCTCTCCTCCTCATCACCATCGTCGCTCCGTAACGACACCGCTGCTCTCCCCCTCCTCCTCCTCCGTTTGAAGTTCGTACCAACCCAAGGAGCAACATGGATCGAGCAACGACGGCTATGATGACGGACACGTTGTCGCGCCGCCGTGTGAAGAGAGAGATAAGGGCAGGGTCGAGGTGGTACAACATCGTATTCCTCCGGGTCCTCCGGATCCATCGACGAGACGAGATAAGGCGTGGCGTGGCGAAGCGAGGCGAGACGAGAGCAGGGCAGGGTAGGGTAGGGTCGAGCAGGGCACTAGGCGGCGAGTCGGGGGCCGAAGGAGGGTAGGGAGTACAAGTGTCGTACAGCTGACAGGGGGACCAGAGGCGTCGGCGGGGAACGAGGTAGCAGGACGAGGACGAGGGCGAGGGGCCGTGTAGAGCCTAGCAGCGAGAAGAGGG